CCATGATTGCTAGTAAATAAGATTTGAAGATTAATTACCAGAATGTATTCAGATATATGTTTAGTACCTAATAGGTAAATTAACGTTTATTCTACTTTTCCCGATCTTTACGGTTAAGAAACAACAACAGTCGAAGCATGAAGATAATTGCATTTAGATATTGATGCAAATAATAAATACCTATCTCAGATCCTCGAAACCACTGGGCATTTCTTTAAGGGCGCGAGCATGTTAGGAACGGATAGCGGACGTTATAGCAAATTATTCTCCCCATTTAGAAGATATCTGATACGGCAAAAAATTTACCGCATCAATCATTTATTTACCGAAGCCATGCACTGCCCGAGGTAGCAGGCTGGAAGGGGCGGCTGCAAGAGCTGCGCGGGGCAGCAGAAGTCATATTATAAAGGCATTCGTTACTGACCTAAAGGGCACCAAATCCTAGAGAATCTTACTAACCAATATAAATTACAAACATAACACCTCCAATACATAGTGTTATTACACCCCTCCCACTGAATTCATCTTCCCCTGACACGCCACCAGCCCCTACTCCCTACGTCCTCCACCCTCCCCCTCTCTTCGAACAGTATCTCACCCCGTGAAGCCTAACTCTGACCCCCATAAAGCTACAGAGGCGTCCTTGGGCTCAAGCTATCCCCCCAAACTAACAAAACTACCCCGTGGATAACAGCGAACGACACGTTATCACACAAAATGTTCAGCCGTAAACCGCCTTTACAGACAACCAATTTTTTCATCTATCCCATATTTACTTCGTTCTAAAGTTCATATTGTCTCTTTCTTTTCCCACTCTCGCTCCCGCTCCGCTCGCCGCTGTCGTCCAGCTTGCATCCACACCGTTAATTGCATACAAAACAAAACGCGGAAAGCCGTGCGCCGTGACTAGTGCGCTATTTGAACCGTAAACTATAGAAGTAAACACAACGTACTACGTTTCTCTTGATTTTATTAAAGCAAACTGCTATTATGGCCATTGTCAAATAATCTCTAAATTATTGATAACTTAAAGATCGAATTTCAATACTTATTATATCCCGATATCATGATTTCAAACGTCAGTATAAGAGAGATATTTTATAGTTATCTTTTTCACTTCATCTTACTATTGTATAAGTTTTTAAAGTAATTTGAATAACCTAATTAATTTGTATGCCGATATTGGCACGACATGTTGTGTACTCCTCAAATCATATCATCTTTCTTAAACATGACAGTGTTGCAATAAAAAAAATTGTCTTTAAAAAAAACAAAATAAGACATTATTTTAAAACAAGCTTTTATTTTAATGACGTTTAGATGAACCACAAAATAGACAGTAGTTGAACTCAGACGTTTAATCGTTTTCTATTTAACAAACCCTTTCATTTGATACCCACCCATGTCATGGGAGTGCACAAAAAATAGTAGAATGACCTTTAGTTTGGATGACAACGCATGGTTAGCGTGTAAAGTTGAGTGTAACCGCATTAAAATTCATTTGTAAGATTTGACCTACACCCATACCTATATTGCAAATTAAACAAAAGGTTTTTAAAACATTTATATATAGAAGCTAGTTGTGTCCCCCGTATCGCAGTGGAGTAATAAATTTTTTATATTTAGTTTTCCACATTGGCAATCCTGCCACAGATCAGGCAGGTCAGTTCACACGCGACCGCCGGCGGCAGAGCGGAACGGGCAACGACTATACACCTGTCCTCCTCACACCACTCCAATCAGATAGGGAAAGACAAAGGCTAGGCTTGGGGATCATTTCAATGTCGTTATTGGGTAATCGCCTTCCGCATCAGTGTTGCCGGGCTAATTATTTAGAGAAATACGTAAAGATTACCGCCTAGCCCTAAAATAAGTACCTACTGCAAGTCTTGTGTTATCTATACTAATATAATAAAGAGGAAAGGTTTATATGTAAGTATGTTTGTAACGAATTGGCTCAAAATGTACTGGACCGATTTTAAAAATTCTTTTACCATTTGAATGCTACATTATATATATAGGCTATAGTGTATTTTCAAAAAAGTTAGGATTCCGTATTAAAACTTGGATAATGTAACCCAACGTGTGTAAAAAATTACATCGCTTACGCTGCGGAAGTCATTGACAATAGAGCAAAGTGATGTACTAAAGTTTTATAGAGGATACCAATATCTACAAAAAGTCCGCGATACCATATGTCTAACTACTACAGTTATGTCACAACTAGAGGTCCCCTGCGGTCTCACTCGCGTTAATTTGAAGAAATAAGTTTATAGTGAGTCAAACTTAAAATATAGACATAGGTTGTCGTGGGCTTTTTTATAGAACTTTTAAAGGGAAAGAATTCCGTCCTACATGATATTTATGTAACTTTAACCGTTTACCCAGCGCACGCAACGGAATGTCACAAATGGAATATTTTTACCCGTTTTTGCAACATTTTTCATCGATGCTCCGCTGCTACTGGTCAATAGCCTGGTAATAGGCCTATAGCCTTCCTCGATAAATGCACTGTCCAATACAAAAAGAATTTTTCAATTTGGAACAACAGAGCAATATTGCATTCGGTACAACAGGGAGCCATTCGCCTAACGGAAATGCTTTGGGAAACGCTAACGCTTACGATTTCATTTTGTTATTTCTAGCCGCCTGAGGTTTTCAAATGCAATGCAAGAGCGCGAAGCGCGACGCGCAGACAGGGTATAGTGTTTAACAGTCTATATATGTATGTTTTTTCCTTTGTGGCACACTAGAGACCAAACGCCTGGACCGATTTTGATGATTCATACATCAATCGATTCGTCTCAATCATGGGAGTGAATAGATAAGAATGATAGTAATCAAAAGATATGATAGTAATCAATAATAATAATCAATAGTAATAATAATAATAATCAAAATTCAGTATGGGGAAAATAGGCGCCATATTGTGACGAAGTAAAAAAAATAAGTTGACAAAATATGTCGAGTGGGGTATCAATCGAAAATCATGTTTAGGTTCCTTACACCATTTTTCATTTTATATGATTGTTTAGGATCTACAACGCTTTAAAGTTGTATATTAACCACTTGCGCTTTTAATTTCAATCTTACGTTTGTATGGATCTTTGTATAATATATACGAAACGTCATTTAGAATTTCGCAATAATATAATGAAGGTAAAGTTTGCTTCAAATTATTAAATTTCCTTTATTATTACCCGCACCGCACCATAAGCTATCCCTGAGGCCCAAGCACGAGTTTTTGACAGCTGCTTAACGTATCGCATCGTCAAAGTTTCTATGAAAAAAACTAAGCAGCGCCACTGAGACCATGTATAAACTAGCTTTTTCCATACAAAATTTGACCATAACGATACTTTCGTACTTGGACCTCTGTGCTCAATTTCATTCAATTAATTTCAACATTTTTTCCAAAATTGTGATGTTTTCTTAACCCCCCCGATTTATTTTCAAATATTTTCGATTCACTAACACGAATAGTTTGTATTTCATAAAGAGGTCAAATGAAATGGGTCATATAACAGTATATTCATATTATAAAAATCTCAACCATAGGGACTTTTATATTGCGTACTTGGCAACACTAAATGACGTTTATTTTTCATGAAATTTTACATCGAAATTTCGAAATTATAAGATACTTACTGATGGTACGTGATCCCAGTGTCCTTTTTATTTTTTGAATTATTATTCTTACAACGTTACACAACACAAACTGACATTTTGCTGCGGATTGTGCTCTAAATTGATTATAATATGCGGGACTAACACTTAAAGCGCAGCTGTCAATGTGACTGACACGGCGAAGGCTCGGGTCTGCCGATTTCGGCATAGTATTTGTTGCCCCATTAAACAAGTACGCCGGCGGTATCTAGTAGAGTGAAGCGAGACCAATCATTCATCTATGATAATATGGTTTGATCGATACGGTAATACTGTTGAAACCCTTTGGTATACTTTTATTTTACTCATTGGTTGAAACATTCGGATCAAATAAAGTGACCAAATGCTTCACAAAAATTTATTTCATTACTAACCCTAGGTTTTTAGTTACATTTAAAAATGAATACTTAGTTAATGTACAAATCAGTAAAACTAAACCATAGCGCGTATCAGGACGCGTGCATCGCCATCTATCGAGTCAAAGTGAAAACGTAATTACAAAACCGGTGTATAATATTATTATTGCGGGAGGCTGCTAGGTGCGGAGACGCAGAAGAATCCCTAAGCGGACATTTATGCCTCTGTGCATAATGGTAAGTAACAACGAGTACCTATGAACTTTTTGCAAAATCATAGCTTCTGGGTTTTCTTCTGGACACTGTGGCCCAAGCACGAGTTTTTGACAGCTCCGTAACGTATCGCATTGTCAAAGTTAAAAAAAAAACTAAGCCACACCCAGTGCCGTCTTTGACCTATTGGAGGCCCTGGGCATAGTAGGATAATGGGGCCCCTTCCGTTTGGTGATTTAACAGGAACTAGGGATTTTGTATTTGATCTGAGGGGCCCCCTATCGATCGCGGGGCCCTGGGCACTTGCCCAAAGTGCCCATTGGGAATGACGGGTCTGGCCACACCCCTATCGAACGTAAGAACAAACTAGCTTTTTCCATACAAACGTTTCTGATCGGTAATAATACGTCTTTCAATCTTGACCCGCCCGACTTCCAAATCATGAACCAGATATTATTTATTACTAAAAATTACTTCCATTTTCGATTTTGAAGTCGGTTTTATTTTGTTTAAATTTTTTTCATTTTCTCCGTTTGGTTTAATTTTCCAAAAATATAGAAATATTCCTAATTTCCCAGTAATTCGTAAGATACCCAGAGATTAAAGGATGTTTGTGTTTGGAGAATAGTTATTAGGCAAAGACATGGCAACCCTGGCAAACAATAAACCCCGCTTTAAATTTCGCTGGTACACTATTAAAGTATAAGTTATTGAAATTTCATTTTCTCTATATAGATATATTATCCTTATTTTTTTTATGTTATAGGGGGCATACGAGCATACGGCTCACCTGATGGTAAGTGATCACCGTCGCCCATGGACACTTGCAACACCAGGAGTATCACAAATGCGATGCCGACCTTTAAGGAAGGAGTACGCTCATTTTTTGAAGGTTTTTGGGTCGTATTGGTCCGGAAACACTGCTGGTGACAATATATTCCACAGTTATGTCGTACGTGGTAAAAAATTTCGACTAAAACGCACGGTTGTGGATAGCCACGCATCAAGATGATGGGTGATTCCTTATAAACTATGTAACTTTTTTGTATTTGTTTTTTTTATTTTAACACACACCATTTAGCCTAGCCCCAAAGTAAGCACTGTAAGGCTTGTGTTATGGGATGCTAGGGTAACGGATAGAATACAGATACCGTACATATATAAGTATATTTATATAGAAATACATATTAAACATCCATGACTGGAGTACAAATGCTCGTATGCATCACACAAACATCTGCCCCCACCGGGATTCGAACCCGGTCAAAACCTCTCAGGTCGGCGACACCATGAACCCGGCATACGAACCACTCGACCACGGAGGTCGTCATAATTATATTGCGGCTGCAATATCATTAATTTCATAAATATAAACCAAAAACATTCTGTAAAAAACTAGCTAAGTCTCGATGGAGCTACTTGTTTATCTCTAAAAAGTAATGAAATATAGACAAAGTCGTGCCAAGTCTAAGGTTCCTTACTGCGATTTCTTTATTATTATAGTTAATGTTGTGTGACTTGGCCGTTGAAGGGTACACAAGGGTACAAAACCAGGTGCTACATGACACCATTGCACCAATACATTCATACGGCAGTGTTTGCTTCGTGCTCGACTTGACAGGGGCACTGCCGTGCCCCCCGATTAATATAACCACATTAATCGACTTTTGGGCGGTACGAAGTTCGCCGGGTCAGCTAGTGTAATATATTATGCATAGGTATTTAATTGTGCCTTGTCCAGTCTTTTGACCACAGAGACAAAATTACAGCTCTCTTGTGCTAATAGTCTCCAAGCAAAACCAGGGACGGACAGACGAACATGACGGAACTATAAGGGTTCCTTGTACTACGGAACCCTTAAAAAGTTCCATGACAGCTTAACAGATAGAAAATCTTACTTTTGCTTTCATTATTAATATGGAAATAGGATTTGTGTCATCCCCAGTCCAACATGCAAACAAACATTCTTCCTTTTGCATATTATTAATTTTATGTAGGATGAAGTAAAATATATAAATGTATTGTGAAACCAGTTCGTCTGACCTTAAGCTATGCAATGATTGACAAAAATGACATCACCTCGTGTGTAGGTGATATTATTGTGACCGCATTGAGAAGGTCAACTTTGCATGAATAGCATGACTGACTGCTTTCTTACTATGTAACTTTTATTACTTTTTGTACATTTTGCACTCACAATGTTTCGACTAGTACGTGTCTGTATTAATTATAATGTGAAAATTTCATAACAATTAAAACTGTAATGCGACATGCTAAAATATGTGAACGAAAAAAATTGTGGCAATTTAAATTAGAAAAAAAAAAAATTGGTTACACAGCTTACTTTAAAAACAAAAAAGAAAAGTTCTTCTTTTTCATTTCATAACGATTTGTCGTTTTTGGAGTTTACTCCTTAAGAATCGATTTGCATATATAAGGGGCCCGGTATGAGAAAACTGAAACTGTGAAGAGTTAAATCTATCGATGAATGACCTCGTTACGTTTTTGGTACGCATCCTGTTCGAGCCAAAATGACTCTTAAATCCGAGAGATTAGGTGCAAAAGAATTAAATTGAAACTACAGTGTATTCTGTTAGACCATAGATTTCTTTATTACTTAGGTCATAGGGATATTCGATATACATCGATGCATCGAAAACATCGATGTTTGCAATGAAAAACATCGAATCGATCCGATGTTTTGAAAAGCTTTCAATATACTCGATGCATCGATGTTTTAAAGAAACATCGAATTGATAATAGAGTTTGACCACGTAGTGATAATATCCTCTTTGATTTAACCTCAGTAAAAAAACTTAAGTTTGACCACTAAAATTTTACTTATTACTATTATGAAAGCAACATTATTCCGAATTCTCTGATATGGACCCAATGTTGGCAGCATTGCGCAAGAGTCAGTGCAGTGACAATAAAAAATAACTACGAGTTTCTATGTTTATGAACATTTATTTTAAATACTTTTTCTTTCTTTCTTTCTTTCTTTAGTTTTGTGAACGAAACTAAGATTATAGTATATTTCTAATATTCTTTTGTCAGACCTAGCAAAAATTTTGTGGGTTATTTAGTGTTTTTTTAATTTGATCTTTTGTAAAAAAATATAATACAGATTTTTCTGACACATGGCTTTTACTTGTATTTACTTTTACCTACTCATTATGAAAGGAGTTAATTCTTTTATTTTATGAAAGATTAATATATAAACTATAATAAAATTATGGATTAAGGTCTTTTCATAAACTTAAATAGTATTTTTTTTACTATGAAAGAATGACCTCTCTTGAGATGGGTCACTTTCCACATAAGTAATTTAGTAGTATATAGTTTGTAATAAATTTTCAGAAAAAGTACTCGATGTTTAAAATACATCGATGTAGGCATGCGTCCGACATATCAAAACGAATCCAAAATCCGATTTCAAACACAAATCGATACCGAACGATTTCTCAACAAGAAAATCCGATTTCAGAAATCTAACCGAACCAAAACGCTAGCTAGCGATCTAATACCACCACAAGTATCCAAATGTAAATCGGATTCGAAATTCGTGCTTTCGTTTTCGGAAGTCCGATTTCGTGCTCGGAAGTCCGATTTCGGTTTGCTGTTTACGGAATCTATTGCTCTTCTCTAAGGCGGGATTATTTATCACTGAAAAGAGATGTCGTCTAAAAACATCAAAAGTCGAGCAACTGTCATTTTTTTGAACGCTTACCTGAAGTAATTAGGTTTGATTTTGTAAATGGTTTGAAAAATAATAAAAACAAACAGAAAAACAAAAAAATACACTAAAAGAATATGTAAAAAGAAATCATTGTATATAAGCCGATTTTTAAATGCGCCGCAAAAGTTTTACTCTTAACCGTAAAGATAACTTTTCTGCTAGTCCTAAGCCACAGAATATATACTCTTGCCTAAGCCTAGATTTAAAGCATAAAGGAAAATCGCGCAAATCTACGAGTATCCTTGCTTCGTACAATTAATTGTTTGTGATTGTCGTTAGCTAATAAAACCAAATCATAACACAAACTAGTGAATTGGCTAAGTTCGGCACATCTGAAATCGGATATCTAAAAACGGATTTTAAAATCGATTTTGAAATCTGAAATCCGATAAATATCCGTTTGTGTATAACCAAAAAAGCCCATATCTACATCGATGTTTTCATCCGATACATCGAATGACATCGATGTATAGTTGTGATGTATCGAATCAAAAAATACATCGATGTTTTTTCAGGGTGGACACCCCTACTTAGGTCAATAGGTGACGTTTTGCCTATATGTAGCTCCAAACATATTTACAAGCGTGATGCAACGAACTACAGCGCCATCTATTTTGATACATATGAACTAAAATTTTAAATGCACAAATGGCGTATATTATAATCGTCCACCAAGGACAAACTGAGATTTATCCTTACAAATATTTAACTTAACAACATGACTCTGTTATCGCCCACCATGACTTAAGGTAACAAAACAAGTAAAAACACTAAGATGTACAATAACTTAAAATAATATATTTATGCACATCTGAAATTGACTATTGTAAAAAGTTTAATGTAAAATATTTCGTCGATTAGTTATAATAAATGTATATGAAATGAATAAATATATATTTATATATGTATATTATTTTCATTAATTTGTTAGTTTACCCTTTCATACAGTATCAATCTTTTTTAAGTTAAATAAACTCTTTTTGCGTCTGGTTAGACTATCGAACTTAAGGAGTAAACTCCAGTCGTGCGTCGGAGCCGACACACACATTTTTTTTTATTTGTTCGTTTTTGAAAAAAAAATTAAACTATAAACAAGAAAACTAATTTAAGATGCTTAGCAGGGCTAACAGGTCGCTGTCTCAGTTATGCTACTGCGCTGATTTTCAGCCAGCGCCTAATGATGACGTCCGAACGTCAAACAAAATGCAAGTGATTTTTAATTTTAAAAGAATAAATGAAAAAACATCAAATAATAAATTTAGTTTCATAAGATAAATAAATAAATAAAATAAAGATAATATTTATAATTAAAATACACAACATCCATGGCAGAACTACACTCATCCGCCGCGCCGTGCCGCGACACGGCTGCAACGCACCAGAGAACTATCTAGCTTAAATTAAATTACATTAAAGTTTCATTTTAAAAATATTAAAAATGTCTGAAAGTGTTGGAAATCTTACCTATATTTTTAAACCGCAGGACACAGTTTTATAATTACGAGAAGTTTTTGTAACTAAACATTCTTGAGCAAATCTTGCGCACGTGAAGTGTGAGATTTTTGTATAGTTAAGGATGAAGCGACTAACTGTGAGCTGTTTTCTCGCTCAAGACAAGTACAATAGATATATTATACATTCCGTGTAAACAAAACAGATGCATATACAATTAGAACATCGGATTGTTCTCCCTGCCGGTGAGAACTCACTCCACTAGTTAGTCGCTGTACCACAAGAGTTATCAAAGCTCTGCGACGCTCGCTTGACTGTCAAAACATGCTCGCGCCTTTTTGCTCGTACCCTTGCCTTAGCACGAACCAATATAAAATTCGAATAGTTTGCGAATGCGGAATGTCAGTGTCAAATTTTGTATGGAAACTCGAACAACAGCGCTACAACGGACGTAACGAGAACTAAATATCAGTACACATTTGACGTATAAAATAGATCGAATTCAACTATTCGATAATGTTATAGCTATTAACGGGATTGTTACCATGTTTTTTTATGAGTCTCCGATATTTCGGCACTGTCGCAAGCGCCATGATCACGAAGAAATATCGGAGACTCATAAAAAACAAGGTACATGGTAACAATCCCGTTAATAGCTATAATGTTAGTGACCATGAAAGTTTAAAACAATATATGGCACAGGCATTCCCTATGGATGGAATAGGGAAATTGGGCCATGACCCACCACGCGGGCCCAGTGCGGATTAGCGGGTGCTAACGACTGCAGATGCATCGCGATAGAAGGTCCCCATCCAATGACCGACCACTGCGAAAGTTGCTTAACTTCAACGATCGCGGTCGAACGCGCTAACCACCCGCACCATCGAGCTCCTCTGCCGACAGTAAGACAAGTGCCTAAATCTTCAAAGTTACAATATAGAGAAGGAGTGTAGAAAGATTCTTCCCTTTATTCGTGTCATTAAACTGCATTTCTTGTTCCCAGGGTCAGAATCAAGGATGGAGTGCACACAGGAGGTGATGAGAGTTACAGTACCGATGGACGGCGACAGGAAAGTCTCCTACTTGGACCAAATGAAAGGCGAGTAATTGCTTAAATTTTTTGTACTACCTTTCCTTAGATTTAAATAAAAGGAAGATACGGTACGCTCATACTAGCATCAAATAAAATGTGCTCCGACTCAACTACATAAGCAACTCTCACGCACGCACACTTCTGTAAATTAACATTCAATCGAGCGAGCGAGACAGAACAGTACGCTTCAACGCAGCGCGAGCGAAACGGAGAGTCCGCATCGCTTGGTTTGGCGACTGGCGTTTTTTTTCTCTCTCTCTACAAACGGCATGGCTCTATTGTTGTCCTTTTCTTGATAACAAATGGCCAAAAAGTAAATAACTTTCATGACAAGCGAAGTTTAGTTTAGTGAATATATATGAAGATATGTTATAGAATTTATTCAAAAAAGTTGGGAATCCAAATGAAAACTTCGATAATGTAACCCAACGTCTGAAAAAAAACCTAAAAAATTATTCGTCCGTCTTTGGGTCATAGACACACATGATTTCAACAGACAGACAGTCAGATTGTGACAGACAAACAGTCAGACAACCGAGTGATACTATAAGGGTTCCGTTTTTGCCGATTGAGGACCGGAATCTTAAAAATACCGTGAACGAACGGGTGGAGGCTAGTCCTAAATGTTTTCAATATATTATTATGTAGACTGTAATTTCTCTTAAAAGTCGAATGACCGTTCGATATTTTGCAAGTCGCACAGACAAAAGATCAATTTATAAGGAAAACAAGGCCAGACGGATTGACCTGAAAACGACATGTTTCCGCTCCGCATTTTAACACTAACTAACTGTCGTCTATAGTGAGAGTCCTAACTTGTAGCTCAGTTACATGAGCTCACACGCATTAATACTACAGAGATGGATCTAAGAAGTGTTTCAAAAATATTAACTAAAAAAAACAGTTACTTTTTTAGCCGCATGATTCTGAGATGTCGACTAAGTACGGCTTAACGGTAAATTGCTTAAATTAAATTGTTATTATCCGACGGTAATATCGGATGCGTTATTGCGATAATACGTCCTACTCTACTGCGTCGTTATTATCGCAGCAGTGAGTATCGACCTAAAACATAATGTATTAGAAGCAAATATCGCCATAATGCATGTGTTATTATCGACCGACAATATCTAGAGGCCTTATAGGTACTTCAATTATTCTTTTGAATATCATCGTTATTGCAAAACTTATATAATTAGGCACACAAATGTTACGGGTATTTTTTGATAAAATAAAAAAAAATTAAACGAGAAGATGATGAGAGAATGAGGAGCTCGATGGCGCAAGCGGTTAGCGCGTTCGGCTGCGATCGTTGAAATTAAGCAACTTTCGCAGTGGTCGGTCATTGGATGGGTGAACAAAAATTACTATCTCGAGCTCCTCCGTGCTTCGGAAGGCACGTTAAGCCGTTGGTCCCGGTTGCATCTGCAGTCGTTAGCACCCACCAATCCGCACCGGGCCCGCATGGTGGGTCATGGCCCAGTCTCCCTATTCCATCCATAGGGAAGGCCTGTGCCCCAGCAGTGGGGACATCAAGAGGCTGATGATGATGATGATGATGATTAAACGAGAAATAAGCTCTCGACGTGTACGTTCCTTCTTTAATACATCTCTGTCCTCCAGACTGCATCCAAAAAGATACTTTATAACATACATGATATAAGACTCAAAATCGTACAGCAAGTGTCATACCCAGTCCTACCTAACCGTCATCTCCCGCCAAGTCACTTTTTAATACGCGATTGTGCGGTACTTACTAAAAAGCCGCACTAATTAAAGCACAAGCATGAAAATCGATTGCCTGGTCGTAAAGATGCATGCCTCTTGCATTTTATTAACCGACTTCAAAAGGGGAGGCTCTCAATTCGTCTTTATAATTATTTTTATTGTTGTTCGCGCATATCTCCGAGGTTTGTTGCAGCATTTTTTTATTTGGAAGAGTTTGTTAGCGATATGATCCCATATTAATTTGGTGAAGGTCTCATAAATACTTTAGAATATAAACAACGGTACTCCTCAAATACGAACAGCAGCAGCTGCAGTTGTTGTTAGGCCTACCTAACAAGGACGGGTTTCAGCGCTGGTCCACTCAAAATTATAGGTTGGACTTGAATGTGGACCAGCGCTGGAACCCGTGGCTCGTTCTCCCTATTCCATCATAGGTGAGGCCTGTGCCCCAGCAGTAGGGACATAAATAGGCCAATGATGAAGATGTATACTTAAGTATAATATTTTTATAAATATTTCAGATTACGTGCCCTGTCAGCCGAGCCTGGAGGAGAATAACGCGATATTCGTTTTGGACCTACAGGACCCCCACAAGTGCGGCGTTACCAGAGTTCTTAACAAACTTACTGTGAGTCGTCACAATAATTTTCTTTAACCATGTTTCAGATTTGAAAATAGAATTCAGAAATAAATAAGAAAGACAATAGGGAAAAAAAAGCAAAGGCTGGACCTAAACAAACGCTGATTTTAAGCCGCCCCTTATTTAGTAGAAAAATTTTGGGCCTTTTGGGATCAAAAAGGGAATTTTGGGATTTATTCGAGTGTGCCAGAAAAACATAAGAAGGGCAACCTTGCTTGTGAAATACTCCAACCATGCCTGGTTCCTTTATGTAGGGCCGAACGTCAGGGACAGCAAAAAAATTTCAACAAACGGCCATGACTTTTATTGTCCGCGTCCAGTCTTTGAATAGGCTACTGGAGGTTGCACTTCTGGAATATCCCTTCAGTAGGGCCCAGGCCTTTCCTATGATTGGAATAGGCAGACTGGGCCGTGACCTACCACGCGGGCCCTTTGTGGATTGGTGGGTGCTAACGACTGCAGATACAGCCGGGACTAACGCCTTACATGCCTTCCGAAGCATGAAGGAGTGGCATTGCGCAAATTAGTTTACTTTCACGATCTCAGGTCGAATGCGCTAACCACCAGCGACACCGGACTTCTCCACCGCCACTCCGCTAGTGATTAATAGGCCTAATAATGTAGATATATTTTCCATTAAAATTCAATTCGTCAAGGGATATTAACAGGCCTATGCTGCTGATAATGCACTTGACCTACATTGAAATTTAATTCGTCAAACTCTTTCAGGGTAAGCGGACGTACTACCACAAGGTGGTGGTAGAGAGCGCCGATGGGGACCGGGAGACGCAGCTGGTGCGGTGCGTGGTGGCCGGCAAGAGCAGGACGCTCACCAGAAGGGAGGTGCAGCCGTTCCCGCTGGACTTCAATGAGCCAGAGTAAGGTTCATCATCGTCACCAGCCCATTAAGGGCAGGACACAGGATCCTAGGGTCCGTTCAAGTATTACATAAGCACTGTACGGGGGCATGGGGGTTGTTTGCTTTGCTTATTTTTGATGACATGGGCGGGTGGGTCGACATAGTGATTACGTCACCATCATGGATTCGGGTGTCATGGACTGAAGACTTGTTAATTGGAATTTATATACCAAAAATTCGAAAGAAGTTTGTTTTGTTCGTAATAGTACTTAATAATATTATAATATTGTAACAATTTTTGTTATCACCGGCTATTTCAGGGCTTACATGAGACTCGAAACTTATTTAATTTATAATCAGGGCGCCGTAATACTGTGATTTGAGGGAGATAAATGAAAATGTCTAAAACCGCAGTGAACAAGATATTATATTGTCAAAAAAGATTCAGATCTTATTTCATCATGGTTAAAACTTAATACTAGTCACATTCAAGTTAATAAATACATAGTTATATTTCCTCAAAGATTTTTCTTTTGATTTAAAGATATTCATACATTCAAGATCATGTGCTAATACAGTAATACTCAATTTAAGTTTCTTATATAAACAAATTATTAAACAAGTTATAAAATATTAAGTTTTGAGTATTTAACAATAAAAATTTGTTATGTTCTTATAATGGCTTTACAGTTTACCAATAGAAATCCTTTATCACGTTAAACAGAAATTGTTCTCCGGAGTATGCACTGGTTAAATATCAAGAAGTTATAAGTTTTACTTAGCTTGGCAAGATCATGGGAGCATCAGGATGACTCAAATGTCCTCAGGGATGAAGCAGGACTTGCTGTCATCACGTGAACCCGTCACTTTTTGCTCAAGAAAGCTTCACAGGCTCATATATATATATTTCCAAGGAGATTCCAATCAGGATCAAGTAATTGTGATTATTACTGTTATTAATTAGCCAAATTAATGGACCTAGAACCAATTACACATTTTTCTATAATTTAATAAAAAACTAACTGGACCTACAGCCTAACGAATCAAATGTATTGAACTTACCCGTTAATCCGGGGAGAAATATCAAGTATATAATGCACTGACTACCACTGCTAGTCTTAATGCTATTTTCTAAGTATGGTCTTCAAGGTTCTATCAGCCAAAAGAGAGCGAATTTGGTTGTGCACTGCTATTTATAGGCTACTACAACACGTGACAGCGTCATTGCAAATTTCTCTCATATCACCATATTTGGTGTGAGGAATCAAACGGACCGGTTTTGCTGACTCCGCCTCTCAATGTTTCCAGAACATTAATGTGACGTCACATCCAATTTTGCATCTCATTAAAAAAATTTACACACTAGCTCCCTCTAACTTACATTCCAAATGCAACTACTAGGTTCACACATATATTGTACTTGTCCGTTGCTTTTCAAAGTGGACTTCGATATTGAATAATTTATATGCATGATGATAGATGGCGCTGAATAAATAATAATATTTCTACGACTTAATATTTAAGAATTATATTGCTATGTTTTAACGTTATTAAATTTAATTGCTACACAACATCCCCCTTATCTCAAAAAATTTTTCCCAAAAAAAATTTTTTTTTTTAATTAATTAACCTGCAACTGACTTACAGACAAATCAACAATATTAAGTATTAGCCAAGATAAAAAAATTTAAACTTTTATACGTGAGTATCCATTTATTTACTCCACGTAATGTTCTAAACTCTAAGTCAATAGCAACAATTAAATATTTGCTGTTTAATGATTTTTCTTTTAGTTTCATGTAAATACCTTTCTTGGATCTAATATCCAGTGGTATAACATGACTTTTCTGTTCATCTTATGAACTTAAGGTAGTTAAGAAAACAACTCAAGATTAAAGAAGTTTGTATGTTTTCAAACTCAAAAGATTAAGATTATTTTCCAACAATCTTCCTATCTTTAATTATCAAGTCTAAAGTATATGTCCACTTCCTTATGCTTATGCCTTTCTTACATCAAGACCTATTTTTCTATTAAGTATTAAAATAAATTGCACGTGCTTATTTTGGAAAAAAAAAACTTTTCATACATCACGCATTTCATACTACTCTCATACTCATATGCATATCAGTAAACACAACTTGATGAAAATAATTTCATCAAAAAAAATTTTTTTTTGTGTTAAAATATTAAAATTCCTCGAAATTTCATTTAAGCATTTTTTTTTTAAAAGTGACCATATAGGTTAAAAAAGGTTGTAAATAAATATTTATTTAGTTAAAAGAGAAAAACAATTTAATTTTCAGGCAGGTTTCGAACCGTAGCCCACAGATTTCCATATGCACTCTTCCTATACCATAACTCTTCTTAACCAATCGTTTAATACTGAAAGTGACTAAAATAAGCATCCTATGTGGAATTCAAAGATTTGTTAGTTCTGTTGTTCAGAATATTTTAGTATATCTTTAATATGATAATTACCTAAACATTTACCATTTAAATCGGTTAAAGTATAAACTAAAGGTGATAATTTAGCCGTCACTACACATTTAATAAATTTTGGTGCTAATTTGGAAGAAAAATTCTTTGCCTTATTGGATAAATAATGAGTACGTTTATACACTATCTGGCCAACTCTTAATTCAATGTGTCTTTTTCTGAGGTTATATTGTTTTTCGTTCCGTTGGTGGGCAACAATCAAATATTTCCTCACCTTTTGGAAGATATTATTAAGTTCAAGCAACTTTTTCCCATACTCCAATGTACTGTCTGAGGTAATTTGATCTAATGGACATGGAGGGAAGGAATTTAAATATAAATTACCATCTATTATATACTCTCTTCCATGGACTAGGAAATAGGGTGAAAATTTAGTTGCTTCATTCACAGCCGTGTTTAAAGCACATTGCAATTCTATTAAGTGTTCATCCCACCTTCTATGCTCGGATTTTACATAACAGGCTATCGCATGAACTATGTTTCTATTTGCCCGCTCAGCTTGATTCGTTTGGGGATGATACTTAGGATTGTAATATATGTTTGGTACATTATATTTAGTTAACAGCTGTCTAAAATGGGAGCTAACATATTGTGGACCGTTATCTACAAAGATGGTTTTACAAACGCCATGGACTAAAAATACATATTTTTCTATAAAGTTTGCTACAGCCATGCCTGTTGCTGACCGTATAGGGTGCAACATGACATATTTACTAAAGTAATCTGAAACAACTATTAAATAAGTATTTCTATTCCTTGAGTTTGGAAAGGGTCCCAATAGATCACAACTAATGGCTTCGAATGGCTTGGTCACTTTCTTAGGACTTCCCATGAGACCGGGACGTGCCGTGTTCACAGGTTTGTATTGCTTACACGTCTCACATTCACTCACATACTTTTTCACACATTCGTATAGGTGGGGCCAGTAATAATGTAAGGCGATCCTCCTATGTGTCTTCATGACACCTAAATGTGCACTAGTAGGGTCATCGTGATATTTCCTAAGAATTGCCGATCTATTTTCTTCAGGAACTACCAGTTTCCAATCAAATTCGCTAGTAAGATCATATTTATTTTTCGAATATCTATATAAGTTTCCATCTTTTTCCATGAAATTAGGAAATTTACGTGGGTTATTCTTTACTGCGTTTAACATATAAGAGTACCAACTATCTTTTGATAAATCTATTTCTATTGAATCTAATTTAATACGTGACAAAGTATCCGGGAGGATATGATCCCGACCCTTCCGGTGTTCTATTTTAAAGTTAAATTGACTAAGACGCATGCTCCATCGTGCTAAACGACCTGTGGGGTTTTTTAATTTATAAAACCACAACAGTGAAGCATGGTCTGTGACTATGGTACATTCCTGACCTTCAACATATTGTCTAAATTGTTCTAATGCATAAATAACAGCTAATAATTCTCTCTCTGTTGTACTATAATTAACTTCATTTTTATTAAGTGAGCGGCTACAGTAGGCAATAGGGTGTTCCACTCCGTCATAAGACTGGGTGAGAACGGCCGCCGCTGAGTATGCAGATGCGTCAGTCAAAATACGGAAAGGGCGCGAATAATCTGGCATTTTTAAAATAGGGGCAGAAACAAGGGCAGTTTTAAGCAAATTAAAGGATTTCTGTGCCTCAGAGTTCCATTCAAAATCCACATTCTTACGGGTGAGTTTACATAACGGTTTGCTGATTTCAGAGAAATTATTCACAAATCTTCTGTACCAACCTGCCATTCCAAGGAATCTTTTTACCTCCTTGGGGTTCGAGGGTGTAGGATAGTTAAGGATTATATCTACTTTACCAGGGTCCGTTCTTAAACCATGTTTATCAATGTAATACCCTAAATATTTGAGCTCTTTGCGACAAAACTGTGATTTTTTTTTATTTATTGTCAGGCCTGCTTCTTTCAGGCGCTGATATATTTTCTCTAGGAGCTCAATATGTTCTGAGAAAGTGTTACTAATGCAAATTATATCATCTTGAAAAGCAAATACCTTATTATCGAATTCTGGGCCAAATAATTTATCCATTAAGCGTTGCATGGTTGCTGACGCCCCTACTAACCCAAAACACATCACATTAAATTGAAATAAGCCTCTACGAGGAACTGTGAAAGCTGTCTTTTCAGCAGATGCTGCAGAGTCATAAGGAATCTGCCAATATGCGGCACTAAGGTCAATTGAGGTTAAATATTTAGCGTTGTTAAGATGATCTAATATTTGGTTAATATAAGGCAAGGGATAAGCGTCTGGTTTTGTGACGTAATTAAGTTTTCGAGAGTCTAGGCATAATCTGGTTTCACCATTGGGTTTCTCTACCATTACTACTGGAGAATTCCAAGCCGATTGGGAAGGAGAAACTACCCCCAGGGCTAACATTTTATCTAATTCCTTCTCGAGTGCTAGTTGCTTGATAGGTGATAAGGGATAATAACGCTGTTTAATCGGACTATGGTTACCAGTATCTATTTTATGGTGTTCCAATGAAGTTCTACCAAGACCAACCTTTTCTGTGTTAATTAAGTCAAATTTATCAATTATTTTATTAATTATTCGCTTTTGCGCCGTCGTTAAGTTATTGTAATCTTCTAACCCGTTTTTTAATGATATTGAGTTAATAGGATTTTCTGAGTTTAAAGTTGTATTACTAAAGTTGGATGACATCAAGTTTTTTGTCAAACCAAAATGGTGCCAAAAATCAATACCTAATATGATTGGTGTAGTAATTTCCGGAACAACATAAAATGTAATTACCTTAAGTATTGAGTTATATTCAATGGGCAGAGACATGTACCCTACGCAATGCAATTCAGTGCTATTAGCGGTTTTTACAATACGCTCTTTATCTAAAGTGTTAAGTTTAAAGCCTAAATTCAGAAAGATGAGGTGCGAGTTTTTGCCGAGTATCGAGCATGACGCACCAGAGTCAGCAAGTCCTAACGCATCTACATTTAATATTTTAAATTGCAAATAAGGTCTATTGTCAAACTTTTTCTTATGGAAGAGAACTTCACGGTTATTTAAGTTAATGTGTGACCTTTTTTTACCGTAATTATATGTGAAGTTCCCACTTTTTAGTTTTTTGAATTATTACTTGGATTACATTGTGGGCACTCAGGTCGTCTTACGCCCTTTTTACCACACTTAAAACAAAGAATTTCTCTCGAATTTATACACTCTCTAGTGAAATGCTCTCGACTCTGACATCTCATACACCTCCTATCATTTGAGACATTTTGAGGTAAAGTTACGGTTGAGATCTGACGGGTTGGTTTGAAATTATTTTTTATTCTTCGTGACTGAAGGTCATTTGAAATAAATAATTTATTCAAATTGGGTTCCGTAAATTTCTCTGCACGGACTTGAGCCAATTCCAAGCGCTTTCCTAATTGTTTTAACGTAAGAATAGAATCAACGTTATGAAGAGCCAACTCTTTCATATATTCCGGACGAATATTATGCATTAAAATTTCTAGCTGTTCTTCTAATGACATGGGAATAGACAATCTCGCAAACATTCCTTGCATCGTGGAGATATAGCTCACAATTGACTCTTGTCTAGCTTGTGTGCGTTGTCTAATTTCGTTTTTAAGTCGATAATCTAAATCCGGAATATCAAAATCCTCTCTTAAGTGTGACAATAGATCAGAATATGAGTTAAAGTTTGCTTTGTTACTTCTAAACCACGCCAATGCAGAATCTTCTAAGAGATCGGAAAATGCTGTCAGCATACGAGATTGCGGAATCTCGCGGGCCTGTCTAAGTTCCTCTAACCTCTCAATAAAACTTCTAACGCAACCTGAACCATTATATTTTAAATTAAGTGAATTTAAGTTAATTGGTTTTTCTTTAATGACGATTAATTCCTCACTTCCATTCTTTTCATTCATCCTTGTTTTCGAGATAGGCAACACATATTCATCCGTCTCTTGTTCCCTCACATCCTTCATGCCGGTTTTACTACACTTGGGAGTACCTTCCTTATCACTTAATTCGTCTGAACTACTTTCCTCTTCCTGTTCTACTTGAGCTAAGATACGTATGAGCCTGTGGCGCAAATCCACAAGAGAAGCATTGTCAACCTCCAATCGAGCAAGTCTATCGATTAGATAATTAGCCCTAACTGACACACGTAAGTGAAGATTACTGTCCTTTCCGAGGTCACCTGATGACAGCAGATCCTCGAGCTCAGCAATTTTCGGCGTACATGCCTTGAGCTCGCTTGCCGGGAGTGGTGTGATCACTGGAGCACACTTGATGCTGCCACGTCTCTTCAGCTTAAAAATTTGGCGAAGCTGCTTTCTCAGTGCATCCACAGATGTGTCAGGAGCTGTGGAAATGCCAAGAATATCCAATTCATATATGATTTCATCCTTTCTTAAGTAGTTTACATATTTTTGTATAGAGAGCATTTTCTCAGATTTTTTCAAGTTAAAGTCAGTTATTTCTGTTACTAAGTTAATTATTAAGTTAATTATTAAATTACGTTTAATCAAGTTTTTAAATCAAGCTACTTATTCAAGTTATTTAATCTAAGAAAGTTAAATACAAAGGAATTTATAAAAATTTTTTTTTTTTTTTTTGAAGGAGGGTACTTTTATTATTACAAGTTTCAATTCTTAAAGACTATCTTGTTCACTGTTCAAGGTCAATTTTTTACGCATCCAATCAATACGAAAGTGTTATTGTAGTATAAGTTGATTAATTCTAATGTGCTAAGTTAATTAATGCTAGTGTGTTTTTCAGACTGGTTGGGGATTTAAGCATCTATGTTTCCACCAACCTTTTTTATCATCATTTAGACACACTAGTATTCCAAAAGTATTGTTTATTAAAGTTTTTTAAGTTATTAAGTAATTTACTTCTAATGTGCTATTCAGACTGATTGGGGATTTTAAGCATTAAATTTTTCCACCAATCTTTTTATCATCATATTAACACATTAGTACAAATTCTGAATATTAAAGATTTTTAAGTTAATTTTTTTTTTTTGATTAGATGTTAAATTCTAGTGTGCCGTTCAGACTGATTGGGGATTTAAGCATTTATTTTTCCGCCAACCTTTTTATCATCATATCAGCACACCAGTATTTCCCTCAAATACAGTATTTTATTGCTCGGCCCTAAAGTTGGTCGCCATTTTGTAACAATTTTTGTTATCACCGGCTATTTCAGGGCTTACATGAGACTCGAAACTTATTTAATTTATAATCAGGGCGCCGTAATACTGTGATTTGAGGGAGATAAATGAAAATGTCTAAAACCGCAGTGAACAAGATATTATATTGTCAAAAAAGATTCAGATCTTATTTCATCATGGTTAAAACTTAATACTAGTCACATTCAAGTTAATAAATACATAGTTATATTTCCTCAAAGATTTTTCTTTTGATTTAAAGATATTCATACATTCAAGATCATGTGCTAATACAGTAATACTCAATTTAAGTTTCTTATATAAACAAATTATTAAACAAGTTATAAAATATTAAGTTTTGAGTATTTAACAATAAAAATTTGTTATGTTCTTATAATGGCTTTACAGTTTACCAATAGAAATCCTTTATCACGTTAAACAGAAATTGTTCTCCGGAGTATGCACTGGTTAAATATCAAGAAGTTATAAGTTTTACTTAGCTTGGCAAGATCATGGGAGCATCAGGATGACTCAAATGTCCTCAGGGATGAAGCAGGACTTGCTGTCATCACGTGAACCCGTCACTTTTTGCTCAAGAAAGCTTCACAGGCTCATATATATATATTTCCAAGGAGATTCCAATCAGGATCAAGTAATTGTGATTATTACTGTTATTAATTAGCCAAATTAATGGACCTAGAACCAATTACACATTTTTCTATAATTTAATAAAAAACTAACTGGACCTACAGCCTAACGAATCAAATGTATTGAACTTACCCGTTAATCCGGGGAGAAATATCAAGTATATAATGCACTGACTACCACTGCTAGTCTTAATGCTATTTTCTAAGTATGGTCTTCAAGGTTCTATCAGCCAAAAGAGAGCGAATTTGGTTGTGCACTGCTATTTATAGGCTACTACAACACGTGACAGCGTCATTGCAAATTTCTCTCATATCACCATATTTGGTGTGAGGAATCAAACGGACCGGTTTTGCTGACTCCGCCTCTCAATGTTTCCAGAACATTAATGTGACGTCACATCCAATTTTGCATCTCATTAAAAAAATTTACACACTAGCTCCCTCTAACTTACATTCCAAATGCAACTACTAGGTTCACACATATATTGTACTTGTCCGTTGCTTTTCAAAGTGGACTTCGATATTGAATAATTTATATGCATGATGATAGATGGCGCTGAATAAATAATAATATTTCTACGACTTAATATTTAAGAATTATATTGCTATGTTTTAACGTTATTAAATTTAATTGCTACAATATTTGTACCTTACGCTATGTTGAATGCTGTGTCAATAAATTTTGTTTAAATGAATATTATGTGCGTCAAAGTGAGAGCTCATGAAGCTCATAAATCAATAAAAAAAACAGAATACGTTAAAGGAAAAATGTATATAGATACCAATGTTTAAGTAAACATAGGAGATAAGAAACATTTGGGAGAGCTTTGCTTACTTTTGCTGACAAAGAAGGAGGAGGGGGTAAATAATTGTAATAAATCTGCTTGCGTAATACTTGAACGGCCCCCTACTTAAAAATAATTTATAATTTAAAAATATTCGTCATAGTCTTGACACACACACAAATTGCTCAATGACTTTTTGGCAAAAGGAACTAATGAATAATTACTGAAATATGATATTTGTTACAGCGTCTTAAACATTACACGAGACGAAGAAGGACGCGCGCCGGAGCCAATGCTGTTTGCGGCAATCAAGAAAAATGGAGTGCCGTAAGTTTGTCATATATCCGTCAAGTTATGGCTATGTTACTCAATATGTATACTTTTGAAGCTATAGTTAGTAATGTAGTCACTTAACGTAACGAATCAAATAAATGCAGTTCGGCCCACAACTTTGTCAAAAAACAAAAGAAATAGTGTACACGGACCGCACATCTGAAGCGAAATTTCTTTTCTTAAATAACTTATCATAAGTGGGGCATAAGGCATAGGGGGATGTAGCAGTGCGCACATCATTTATATGTGTATGTATATATTGTCGCGTGTGACGCTCGTAGCGTTTCAGCCTTCGCCAAGTTACCCTACAAGTACCAAACGAATCGAGAACCACCTCCTTTTTGAAGTCGGTTAATAATTGCATAAGCACTGCGCTTACTTTGGGCCCAACAAAAGCGGCATAACATCACCGCCATATATTCACCAGATATTATTGGATAAGAAATACTACCTCAGATGAACGCTCCCGAAAATATAATCAGAAAAATCTTTATACAAGTGTCGATTATGGCAGATCCCTCTTTCCCAGTGGGCACTTTAGTCAAGTGCCCAAGGCCCCGCGATCGATAGGGGCCCACTTCAGATTAAATACAAAGTCCCTAGTTCAAGTTAGATCACCAAACGGGGGTAATAGGGCCCCCAATATCCTAATATGCCCAGGGCCTTCAATAGGTCAAAGACGTCACTGGATTCTGGCATGATTCTTTAAACTTAAAACTAAATTCAATAACAGTCATCAGTTTTCATTCTGTATAGAGACTGACAAGGATACACTGTTGTCAAATTTAAGTTTAGGTTCAGAGAATCATGCTAGAATCGACATCACTGTATCTTTAAAGCTTATAGCTTTAATATTTTCGAAAGGCTATAGGAAATCTATAAATTCTTACATTGTTGTATTTTTGAAGTGAAAACTTCTTTAGCGGCGTTGTACACTTATTTTTGTAATGGGTAAAAGATGTTAAACTCGCCAAAGGACACGTGACCTGATCGCATCAGGATACGTGGCCTGATCGCGTCCGGACACGTGGCCTAATCGAAAATTCGTAAGACGACAACTTAAAAATAAAGGTACACTGCTCGTTCCCCGTAGGCGATAGCGTGATAATATGTAGCTTATACGTTGACCCGACGAATTTGCAGGCGGCCGCTAGTTTTACTATAAGTACTTATTTTGTAACGGATTGTATTGCAGAGTTCCTAAAAACGACTCAGTGAGCCCCGGGACCCATCTCAGCATGGAAATATTCTTGGATAACACGTCAGCGCCTATATACGGCCTGTTCGTCAACTACATGTACGCAACCAACACTGAAAACCAACAGGAGACCATCATATTGAATGGGTACGTCATTTTACAAGTTTTGATAACCTAACCAATCAACGTAAAGTTTGAAGCGAAGATTTATATTTGAATCTTTAGTTTGGAGGCAATGTTTCTGCTTCGTCCAGAATCGTCAATCTCTGACGATTCGATCCGAGACACTTGCAAACAGTTTTCTTTCTACGTCTTTCAAGTATTTATTCCTGTGTCATAGACCAAGTGTCGACCAGTCATCATAGACAACTAGACCAATGAAACTTCGAAACTGTAGCGGATTTACTACTTTGGTATAGATAATATTAGAAGTTCTGAATACGACATGCGTCGCCACACCAACAATGGGTCTGATCTGCGCCGACGCCGCCGCGCCGCTATAAATGATCCACATAAAAAAAACTTAGAAAATTGATTTCTGCACAGCTTCGAGGGACCACAGACTTGAGTCAATGTTTTAAACTTCAACTGCTTACCTCCACGTGCTCCCGTGGTAAAAGGTCTTGACAGAGAGACAGAAAAACGGCCGTATCTTTTATTACGTTAACTTAGAAGTTTGTTTTGTTTTTCACAGCTTCAAAGGAACGCAGGCCCGAGTATAATTATGATTTAAATTTTACCTTGATACCTCCACGTTCCAGAGATAAACGTTCTTGACAGTTTTCCTTGGCTTGTTCCGTTTTTTCTTTGAGGTACGGAACCCTAAAAGAAAATTACATAGAATGAAACTAACCTTACAACTCTACTTAATAAAGTATAGCTGTAGTGGCGTTTTAATATTTTATTTTTATTTACTCGGACAGAACAACGTTTGTTGGGTCCACAAGTAAATAATATCCTTATCGTAAAAATAAATCATTTAAATCTTATTTTGAAATTCTCGAATCACAATGTTAGTTACCATACTCCTCCGAAACGGCCTCACCGATTTTTATGAAATTTTATATGCATATTCCGTGGGTCTGAGAATCGGCTACTATCTATTCTTCATATCCTTAAGTGATAATGGTTGTCCACCTGTAACATAGTGTTCTGAAACCTACAATGCGCCCTCGCGCCAAAAATCAAACTATTGGGTATTGTAACGTAGTGTTCTCATATGGGTTAGGAGGAATGTTATCCCAGGAAATTGATAGAACACTTATGATTTTATAATGTGGTATTAAAAAAAACATACAACCCTAAATTTTCTCCTCTACCACCTGCCCCTATTTTTATGGCGGTACGAAGTTCGCTGGGTCAGCTAAGTAATATTATAATGTTTTCATTATAGGTGTTCCGTAGACGCATCCTTGTTCAACAACTTCCAGACGACCGACGGTGACCTGCTCGTTGCTAAGTTCAGGGCGTTCAAGTTCCCCGACACGACGTATGTCCTGTTCATAGGCACTGTTACCGTGTGCCTAGACACTTGCCCTGGGGTGAGTCATCATTATCATCAGGCAATTAATGTCCCCACTTCTGGCACACAGGCCTTGCCTATGGATGGAATGGGGAGTTTTGCTCCATCACCCTCCTGGTGTACTAACGACTGCAGACGCAGCCGGAACCAACAACTCAACGTGCTTTCCGAAGAAATCCATTCATCAGTGAAAATTTTATCTGTATATATAGCTAGACAGATATCTGTCTAGCTATCACGGTTCATGACATACAGCCTGATGACAAACAAATAGACAGACGGAAAGGGGTGTCTTAGTAACAAGGTTCCGTTTTTACCCTCTGGGGACGGAACATTGGCAAGACATACTTAATAGCAATGTATTAAGTATGTCTTGCCGACGAACTCCGTGACCGAGTGTTTTGTGCGCCGGGTTTCATGATGTCGCCGACACGAGAGGTCCCGGGTTCGAATGCCGGTGGAGGCAGATGTTTGTGTGATGAATAGGAGCATTTGCACTCCAGTCATGGATGTTTAATATGTATTTCTATATGAATGTACTTATATATGTACAGTATATGTATTCTATCCGTTACCCTAGTATCCCATAACACAAGCCTACAGTGCTTACTTTGGGGCTAGGCTAATTGTTGTGAGTGTTGGAAATATTATATTTATATTACACTATCTCAAATGTGCTTTTTCAACACAACTCGTCAATAAACTTTTATTTAACAAAATCTTGCACCTCCAAATACCTACGCATAAAAAATTAAGAAAGTTTTTCCTTTAATCCTACTCAATAGAATACAAAACAAAATGTCATAATACTCCACGGTCAAAATATTTCCAAATGTAACGAAAGTCCCTTCAGAAACATCCTTAGAGTGCGAAAAGGAACTATATAATGGACTGGCGAACAAAACGGTATAATTCCATAAGATAAAATTTTACAGGAGCTGTAATAAACTGTATGACATACCTACAGTGAGCTTTTGGCGTGGTTTTTACAAGCTTTTATTTAACTTGCAATGTACGAGTATGTTTGTTCAGGTGGAATCTTACAACTCAATTTTAAGGCACTTGCCTTCAACCGATTGAGCTGAAATTTGGTACGCACGTTCAGTTCGGATGACAATGCATGATTAACAGTGTGACGTCATTCTAAATCCAACATGGCGGCATACCCAAAAATGGCGGACCAATCATTTTCAATGCATTGCATATGCAGTACTCGTATTTACTTGCTGCCTATTAAAATTTTAAAAACTAAGAAAGTAAATACGAGTACTTAAATCTCGCGACAAGCTTTTATAACATATAAATTGTGTCAAATGTGTTAAATTTGAAATGACGTTATAAGTTAACAGTAAAAGTTTTAGTGAAAGTTATTTTTTTTTCGTTTTAGCGCATTTGAATAAAAGCTTGTTTTTAAAAAGGTTTTTTTACCTTAATTTTATTTATTTATAAGTTCAATAATTTTAACACTGTTTTAGGCGGTTTTGATTGAAAATGAGTTGAAATTCAAATTCAGCGGGCCTAAAACCTCCGGACTGTGGACTGTAAAAGTAGTTTTACCAGATGTCTAATTGTACCGTTTGTTCGCCAGCTGCTCATTATGAATGTGAGTGACAGTTCAGAGAGAGCGTCACTGTCTACGAAAATGACATACAAAATATGATGTTTACAAAGACGGCGGCGTTAGTTACAATTTTCGCCACATTCCTACAGATCCTTGTCGCACTTTATAATGGTTATCCTTTAGAAACATCATCAACAATGGTTATTTATTTCTATAACAGGTGCAGTGCAGTAACGGCGTGCGCGGTTACGGGCGTCGGCGACGAGCAGTGCCATCCAGCCATGCGGCCAACATGTACGAGGTTTCGCTGACGACCTTCCTGCAGGTGGACTGGAAGGACGGCGACAGAGAGGCCGGTGAGAATCATTCATCTATAATATCATCATCTCCATCATTATAATGAGAGGCCAACATGTACGAGGTTTCGCTGACGACCTTCCTGCAGGTGGACTGGAAGGACGGCGACAGAGAGGCCGGTGAGAATCATTCATCTATAATATCATCATCTCCATCATTATAATGAGAGGCCAACATGTACGAGGTTTCGCTGACGACCTTCCTGCAGGTGGACTGGAAGGATGGTGAGTCATTAATCGATGATAACATCATCACCATCGATTTAAAACCTTATTTCTGCTAAGGCGCTTGTACAAAGCAACAACAAAATAGACCTTTTGTAGAACGTTCCGTTCTCTTAACAATGGGTGTATCCATAACATATGTTTTCGTTTTTAACAAGTAAAGACACATATTTAACAATTATTTGTTCGACATCCATACCGTAATAAACTAGAGTCTGAACAAATCTGGAAAGGACCGCCAGATTTTGTTTCACGCCCCTCTAGTTGTCGATTCTGGCATGATTATCTTAAGCTAAACTAAAATTTGGCAAGTGTATCCCGATTATTCTTTACAGAATGAAAAGGATAGATTGATGTTAAATTTACTTTTAAGTTTAGAGATTCCTTCTAGAATCGACCCCACTGTTTTAAAACCATGTTTAGCCTAGAGTATGACATTTTCTTTTTGAACTCTTGTCGAAATTTTTCGTGATAAGTATTAAGGGAAATGTTTTCTTTTTACAGAGGACGTGTTAGCTCTGATTAAAAACTTGAAAGCGGCCAATCAAATGCTGGAAAGTCAAGATGATACGACTGCCAGCACTACCAACGAGATCAACGAACTATTTCCCCTGAAACCGGAGCTCACGGGCAAAGCGTCAACATTCGCGTACAGCACATTAACACTGGCCATTAGTTTATTTTTAATTTTAATGAAATAGGTTACCAATTAAAAATAATAATTAAAAAAAACTGGTGTCGTAAATTTTTAAAGTGTTCTGATTTGATGGTATTTTTGGCATACTAATTATCTTTTAGGTACTTATAACCAGGTTTATTTATGTAAATTTCGTGTAGGTATCACCGGGTAAAAATTACTATTTTTTTCATTGACAAATCTGCTTAATGCGTCTCATAATGATCATAATAGACTACATTGCATGAAAACACTAAGTTTCTTTTCAATCGCCATTTTAGTATAAGAAAGTAGAAAGTATAAGAAAATAATCATCTAAAAATATCCTTAAATTAGAACCAACACTATGGTGCATGACGGGGTTTATGTTTAGGAAAGGAAAATAATAATTCTAGTTAATAATTCTAATGATCAGGTCGATCAATATCATTGTTACTATTACAAAACAATAATAATACATGAAAATGAGGACCAAATACGTAAGAACGCATTGCTATCCGTCCAAATTGAAATTTTAAACTCATAGGCGCGTTATAGAACACATTGCTATCCGACCAAATTGACACTTTAAGCCCTTAGACGCGTTATAGAACACATTGCTATGAGTCCAAATTGAAACTATAAGCGCATATGTGCGTCATTGTCTGTCGATATTATCGAATGCGTATTTGTGATAATTCGTCATACTTGTATTACGCCGTTATTATCGCAGCAGTGTGTAACTTGGAAAGTGTTCCAATGCATAATATACTAAAACTAGGGCTGCGTCCGGGGAGCGTCCGGGTGGGGTTTTATTTGTAGTCCGGGTTTAAAAATTTACGGCAACGCCTGAGTGGCCCTTGGTGCTGCAAGTGTCCATGGGCAGCAGTGACCACTTATTATGAGGTAGACTGCTAGCTCTTTTGCTTAGATCAACATAAAAAAGTTGATTTGTGACATTTTTAACTGTTTTTTTTTGGTCTGTCCGGGTTCTGGGCAACAAAATCCGGGGTTATCACGCGTCTTACCCTGGTTGCCACATTTTAGAGTTTAACTGGCGATTAGCTGATTGGCAGCCTTAACTAAAACAGATATCACATAGTGCATCCGATCCAGGTGACGATTCTGGCAGGCTACTCTAAACCTAAACTTAAATTTGACAACAGTGCATTCTTGTCTTGTATTTCTTGTAACAGAATGAACAAGAGAGACTGATGTTAAATTTAGTTTTAAGTTTAGAGATTCATACCAGAATGTACAACATTATCCACCGATAATAATGCGCATATGGGGAAGAGACCTTACCTTGTTCTATTCTATATATACCTAGATAATCTTCACTTTGCCATTGTAATGAATATAATTGTAAATGAATTGTATAAATACCTGTTATTTTTCTTGCGGTATCGATCAGCCTGTATGGATTGTTTAAGTGACTTTGCCTAGAATCTATATGTGGCTCCTTGTGGAGATTTCTTCCAACCTTCTATTAGCAAGTCGTTAGCACCCAACAATCCGCACTGGACAGACTCATCACTCCATAATCCTTTTTCCCTGTTCCATCCATAGGTAAGGCCTGTGCCCCAGCAGTCGGAACATTAATAGGCTGTGGATGACGAAGAAGGTCAGTGATACAGCGGACTTAATTGATTTAAATACTGCCTCGAAGTCCTCGAATATCGGCACCAAAAATAAAATTTCTCCCTTTACTTATAAGGTCAGCTCAATGCTACTCGCATGATTACGAATTTGTCAGAGTGCATGACAATTTTTCATATTTTTCCAAAAACAATTTTGCAAGACTTTACTGGAGGTGTGTTGCTAGATTTTTATTCTATTGTATCCTTAGATTAAAATAAAAAGGGAAAATACGGTACGCTCATACTTGCATCAAACAAAAACGGATCCCACGACAGCGCGAACGGGACGGCGAGATCCGCGTGACTGCATTACCGATCCGAACGAAACAGCACGTTAAGTTTCAACGGCAGCGCGAACGAGACGGCGAGATCCGCGTCACTGCACTACCGACCAATCACGCGACCAGTACTCGACGACACTACCGAAGATTCAAAACAAACAGCAATTTTTATGAAAAAATATATTTTATAGTACTTACGAATGAAAAGTGATTCCGTGGGTTTTATTTTTAGTTCTTTAGCAATTTGAGCACTTTTTAAGAACACACTTAGGCATTGTTTTATCATATAAACACAAAATATTAGCAATATTCCTTTTTGGCGTTCACATGTACGTCGTTTGCATGTCAAGATGTGACTAAAGCAAAGAGACTAAAGTAATATAAAAGCGATTAGGGTCGTGGACCACAATTTATGCGGATCACTTTTGTGAGGCTAGTGCCGTATCTACCCTTTTTGTTTTAATCTATGATTGTATCAATAACCAACAACGCTCATTAAGGTTACATAGGTAATAAAATAATAGTCTAAAATCTTACCATAAAATATCTTGAATTTATAACAAACATTTAGCCACACACAAAAGTCACAAAAAGCACGGTGGATAAACGAAATTAAAAAAATATATGCATCGATTTGACAAAAGCGCGCCACAATTTGATTGCAGTCCGAATCGCCTCCGCAGCACTGTGCGTATATTCACCGTAATGTCAAACATGGCTGTATTTTTTTAACCTTATTATTTTTTTATTACAGCAATGCAACCCACAACCTAATATCCCATATTAGTTTTAGAATGAAGTGATTTTAATACAAATAACGTAATTTCTAAGCCAATTAAAATAAGTGCCTTCGTAATCTAATTAAAAAAAATACCTACTTAATAATAGATGGTGGTATGACCAGGAATCATATTTTCTTTGATTTTTCGATTTTTATATTATTGTTTGATTAGGTACATCTATAAATATATTAAGTAAAACAATTATTCACTTAAATTCACTACATTTCCGTTCTGTTTGAATTTTTCCTGGTCATATAATGATGCTGACGCATTTTAAATTCACTAGTCTTTAAAAATATGAAAAATAGTTTAATAATATTTTTATATTTAAAAATTCATTAATATTAATTTCTTTGTTAACAGTGTACAATTCGATTTATCAAATAGCTTTTTCCCTTTTTTTTTTTGAATTCGAGTATTCTACCCACTAATACATATATTCATTTTTTATTGCAAAACAATTGAATGTAAAATAAATACAGTATTTCCAAATAAAAATATTGTTTTATTATTTTCCGACAAATATTTCCCATGACATGTTTGACTTTAGGAAAAAAATACCTAGAGCACCTTGGCTTGGCTTGCCTGTGTCCGAGTTTCCCTATATTGCCTTTTTAACGATTGTGTGTATGTGTTTGAGTACTCTATAAATAATGAAATTGGAAATGGTTTTATTACACTTATGTCGAATTATACGAATTTAAAGATGGTTTAATATGGACGTACTTTATAAACACATACATAAATATCATTATTTGTAGTACTGATAGCTGTGTCGTAAAATAACTTTTTTTCATTATAATAGTACATTATTAAATTTCTATGTTTAGGCTATATGGTATCTTATAAAAAAGTTCTTCTCAGTACAAGGTCTCCCGCCGTAGATTTACGTACAGATGGCGTAGCTTCTAACCGTTTAGGAGTGCTTGTAACAGCCTAAACTGAATAAATGATTTAGATTATGATTATGAACTTAATTTACCGCGCTTCCCATACAGTTTTCTGCCGATCGTGTTTTGTTTTCGGGTTTTCAGGAAAGCTTTTCAAAGTACTTCTTTGTTACGAACATACTTTGTTGATTTCAATTGTTTCTATGAGTGAAGATATAGTAGTGTATGGAACTGCATATAATTGAGGTATTAATACACTCGAGTCAACCTATTACCACTATAATCACTCGTGTTTTAATACCCCTTCTTAAATGACAGTCTCATAAACTATTATTTCAATATATTGTTTTAAACTTTCATGGTCACTAACATTATAGCTATTAACGGGATTGTCAACAAAAAGTGTCACAGTGTCTACGATCTCCCAAAGACAACTTCCCTTTGGAGAAACCTGGTGTATATAAGATCGACTGCAGCTGTGGTAGTTCGTATATTGGTCAAACGAAGCGGACAATAGCGTGCCGAATGAAAGAACACATTAAAGCAGTCAGAAACAATGATACGCAAAAATATATAAGTAATATAAATATATAAGTTCTATCGCGGAACATTTAATCGATTCGGGTCCTAATCACTGGATTGAGCTCCATAATCCACAAATCATCTCGTTAAAACGCCACTACATACCAAGATTGGTCAGGGAAGCGATTGAAATAACCAAACACAAAAATTTCAATCGTGAGGATGGGTTCAAATTGTCAAGTGTCCAGAATCCAGTGGTTTGTATGTGCAAAATCCGCAAAAATCAAATACTGTCGTTCCGCGATCTGATACTGTGAGTATTGTGTGTCGGGAACAAATGCGAGTGATTAGTGAGAATGTGCCTAATGGTAGGGGTATCGAGCGCAGTAAAAGACGACGTCAGAGGGTAGACCGATGTCTGCCACTAACATCTACCCGCAATTACTTCAGTTACTCCGTGATCATGGCGCTTGCAATAGTGCCGAAATATCGGAGACTCATAAAAAACAAGGTAAATGGTAACAATCCCGTTAATAGCTATAATATTATTTCAATCTCACAGTAAAACGAATCATACAAGTTTTCAGTCTTTTAATAGAACCATTATTCAATAACTGATCGAACTAACAATACGTACATATCAACATGAAAAGTAACTTCAAATAGTGACAAACTTAGATACAAAAATCAAGTCAATAGTTATATCATAATACCCTTCACATCACATCTCTGTGATAGCTTACAATTTAAATACTGAAAAAAGTCATTACTTACAATATAATTATTTTTTACATATTGATTCTATTAATCCTTAACTAATTACTTAGTTCCAATTCAGGGAAAAAAGGACATTATTCAATAAATTGAGGAAAAATATTTTAGTTCGACACATTCACATTTATTGAAGAGAAAAATATATGGAACAATATTATGTATAATTAATAAAAAAATATTTAAAAATACTAATTACTTAATTTACAAAAATATTTTCAATCAATGAAACAATTCCATCGCGCATTACAGCGTTTTGAAAAAAAATATAATTTATTTTTTCAATAAACTTTTGTTACGGTAGGTTGGTAGTTAGATACTTTTACTTATACACAATTTAAATTGGTAATAATTATATATAAACAAAATCAACAAATACACATCAAGTGTTTTTATTCCACCAGATTTTTACCCAAACCTGAAAACTTCTTAATATTCGAAACGGGGATATCTCGTTTCAATATAGACTTTTAGGTACTTACATACAAAATGAGACCGTGACAAATTTACGATACAATTCTGTCGAATAGTATTCATATCATTTTTAGTAAATAACTACTTAACATAATTCATTTACGAGAATTAATATTGCTTAACACTCGGTAACATTACTTTTATCATAACATCTTTAAAGTTATTTTTACACGATTGCAAAAAAGGACTATAATGTATCCAGAGTACGTGTGTCTGCGTTTCCATATCATCTTAATGCCTGAACCGATGTTAAAACGCTTGATTCCAGGATTGTTAAAATTTCATAAGGTTTATTATCATTACGAGTTGTTTATCACAAAGTTATTTAATATCATTTCAAAAATGAAACCCTTGTTTCCGTCAGACCATACAATTTTTCCGATCGATAGTATAATAGTACCCTTAGCACGAGCTAATAGCGAATTCGATAAGTTGAATTCAAGTCAAAAAGTTTTGTTGGGAAATTTGAACAGCGCCGCAACGGACGTAACGAGAATAAAAATGTTCCTTAAAAAACTTATTGACAGTTATTGACGCGTATCGAGATGGAATTCAACCACAGAACACAGAAAAAGGTTAGAAAGGTGATCATATACCGTTTGTACGGGAACCGATGTCGCCGGATCACTCCACACCTCCACCTAAAAGATAATAGCCAATCAAACGACGCGACATCAAAAATCGAACCAATCAGCGCTCAAACCCAAAAAGACGCAATCAGAACCAAGGTAGGTAGCGCGCCTGCCCCACCCACAAGGCCCGTCTAACCTTTTTCTGTGTTCTGTGAATTCAACTATTAGAATGCAATAATGGTTCGTGGTAAGGCTACTGTTAGTTGTATTATGAATGAGTGTTTATGAAAGTTCGTAGTACATTCGAATAGTTTATTAGGAACTTTGACAGCAAGGTAACAGATCCTTGAAAAATAAAAAGGCTTTAGAGGCTAAAGAAAATTCGACACGGCCATCAGGGCTGCGGTAGTATAATGGTCAGTGAATTCGGGTTCGAGTCCCATCTACTGCCTAGACCGCGTGGAATTTTTTTCTAATTAAATTTTCTTAAGGTAGGTATTGTTCTTTGCCTTAACATTAGCAAACTAGTTTGGTCATTTTATTATAAAAATGTCTACTTCTACTTGGCACGACTGCTACAGTAGTCTTAATTAATATACCTGACATTAATTCTAGTAACTGCATAAAGTATAATGTAAACTATTGAATTTTAGTAGAGCTATAATGCCTACTATGTTGGTTCATAAGTTAAGTTTTTCTGAAAGACTGCATTCAACAAATTTTGCTTGTCATATTACACCATCGTCATATGTTTTAAAACAATCGGCATGTTTAAGTGAATTTGATTTTTAGGGTTCCGTACCTCAAAAGGAAAAAACGGAACCCTTATAAGAAAGTCCGTCCGTCTGTCAAGACCGTTTTTCTCAGGAACGCGTGGAGGTATCAAACTGAAATTCATATCTAATACTCAGGTCTACTGTCCCTTGGAGCTGTAAAAAATCAATCTTCTAAGCCAAAGTAATGAAAATATACAGCCGTTTATGCCGCAAATTTTCGAAACTCGCACGGGAATCAAAACATACGGGGTACTTCTCGTGAACTTAGAATCTTGAAATTTGGTACGAAGTAACGTCCTATAGTACAGATAAAGGAAAAATTGCGAAAACCGTAAATTTTTAGTTACATCGTAATATAATAAAATATATTTTTGAAAATTCAGGTTTGTATGGAACCCTCGGTGCGCGAGTTCGACTCGCACTTGACCGGGTTTTTTAGAAAATTAAATAGAATTATAAAAATACTGATTTTACAATAGACAGTAGACAGAAGAGTGAATGTAAATTATTGAAGTCCTACAATTTACATTCACTCTTCTGTCTACTGTCTATTGTAAAATCATAATGAGAAGTCACTTCATTGTAAAATCTTCTGTCGCAATATAAGGCGAATATTATATATAATGCGGTAAAGGAACCACTTAAGATTTAAGAAAGTTGATGCAAATAGCCCTTAGATGAAATCAACCAGCTAAGTCAGATTTTTTTTATAAAATACATTACGATCAAGCCTAACATTCAATAATCTGTACCCCTAGCACGAACCATTATCGAATACGAATAGTTTGCAAACCGAAATGTCAATGTCAAATTTTGTATGGAAACTTGCCCTAGCACGAACCAAAATCGAATTCGTAACGTTTGCGAGTCCAAAATGTCATCGTCAAATGTGTACTGATTTTTAGTTCCCGTTACGCCCAAAGTGGCGCTGCTGTTCAAGTTTCCATACAAAATTTGACATTGACATTTCGGTTTGCAAACTATTCGATTTCGATAATGGTTCGTGCTAGGGGTACAGCAGCGGCACAAATTACGTAACGAGAACTCAAAATCAGTACACATTTGACAACGACATTTCGGACACGCAAACGATACGAATTCGATATTGGTTCGTGCTAGGTGTACTGAATGCAATGACTGCTCATTTATAAGTTTTATATATTTATAAAAGTAGCAGGAACATATAAAAATCATTAATGATATTAATAATTTGGAAACATCAATTTTACAATCACACATGTACATTTAAATTATATTTAGTTGCTATAAAGAACCTATACTCTCTTTATTAATTAAAAAAATGGACTTTAAAAAACTACGTAGATGCTTATTAAAATGCATTTTATAGGTGTTTACTAAATTTTGTAAACTTAAGAGTTACTAGGAAAATATACATAAATCAGAAAAACGAGTATTATTTTTGTGCGAAAAAAATATCCAGAGAGCTCATATCACATATAAACTTATATTATATATCATACAGTAATTGTTCATCGTTATAAAATAAATATGTTAATTCTTTAGACAAATTGGAATAAGGCATATTTTTTTAATGATGTACTTACATAAAAAAAACAAAATTATTTTTGATTATAAAATCATCAAGAAATTGTTTTCGAACTAACGAAAATTATTTATCATGTCAATTGTAGATACTCCTCACTCCTTCAATAATGTCGTCTTCTTCACTCCAATACAGTGCGACTGAGACGAGTATAGTCATAATATTGTCAGTCGAAATTACCCAATTTTTATTTAAATCCAAACAATTCGTTATATCACTTAATTATAATGTAGGTATTTTATTTTATATATAATGGAACACATGACTGACTTTTAAATTTTAACATCTACCTTGGATGAGCATTAAGCAATATCATGGACAAACAACCCCACTCAGAATGGTCAATTAACTTTTAAAGTTTCATTAAAGTACGTGTAAGTTGTCACCACGACAATAAAATGAGGGATTAAATTACTCGACCCATTCTGAGTGCAGTCTAAATTGTCTTTTAAATTTTAAACTTTCTATCCTATGTGGGATTCATAATTTGAGTTACGGCCTAAACGCCAATATGCTTTTTGAGGCATTTCGCATCTCTATCGCACTAAATAGGCTACTCTTCTACGTGAAAGAGATAGTTAGATGTTTTACGTCGATAAACGCACACTTTATTAATATTTATAAGCCAAAACCTTGACAAAAAATACTGGACAATGGCATAAACTGTCTACAATTCTATTTCTACATTTCTCAGTCCGTGACTTGTTTTTCGGAACCACTTTGCCAACCCGAGTCCATAGTGTTAGTGTCACTATAACAATGATGGTGATTGGTCTTCAATATTTCTTCCTTCTCCTCTCTCACTGGTTCGTATTGAGAATCTGGGCCCAAGCATTTGGACGCCTCAGGTTCATTAGAATAAACGGTATCAGGTCTGTCTTCGTCAGACAATAATGACTCTTCCGTGTTAGGAGATAAAGGCGATAAATTTGGCGGTGGCGGTACAAAGAAGTCCGGTTTCCCCGAATCTGAGCTAGATTGCCTCAAATGTTCTTTGTTAGGCAGATTCTTAGGGCTTTTCTGTATTCGCAAAGGACTCATATGAGCTCTCATTTTGGGACTACCCTCGATTCTTATACTGGAATTTAAGTCCGACATCCTTCTATCCTCCATTCTGTGCTCGTTCATTCGTTCAATCCGTTCGTTAATCATTCGCGAGTCGATCGGCCGCTCCAACCTGCAGTCGTTCATTCTAGAATCGCTTATTCTGGAGTCGTTCAAACGTGATTCTCTGGTGTCATTCGTCCGATCACTCAATCGAGTGTCGTTCATTCTAGGATCACTAACTCTTTCCATTCTACATTCATTTAACCGGTCTCTAGACTCGTTTCTGTCTATCCTCGAATCGCTTACTCTAGAATCATTCAAACGCGATTCTCTCGAGTCATTCGTCCGATCACTCAAGCGAGTATCGTTCATTCGCGAATCATTCATTCTAGACTCATTCAACCGGTCTCGGGACTCGATTCTGTCTATTCTGGAATCGTTGAACCTATCCCTCGTGTCCATTCGTTCGCTCATCCTAGTCTCGTTCATTCGTTCGATCCTCGCTTCGTTCATACGTTCGCACATCCTCATAGAGTTGTTTAAATGTTCTATTTGATGTTCAGTCAATCTTAAACTATTATTCAAGGATTTTTCTTGGTTTTTTATCAATTTTTCGTTTTGTCGCGGTCTCCTTTTGGATCCGACTTGGGGTTGTGGTCTCTGTTGTCGAGTTAAAGTAAAAGATCCGGTGTCTGATTCAGATGTTGATTCCGGATGATTCTCTATGGTTCCAACTAGAGCTGAAACGTTCGGGTTCATGCAGCACTCGGCCTGTGATTGATAAAAAAAAAGGTTAAGAAGATTATGATATTCATTGTGACTTGAAGCATACAGGTGATACTGTTTTAAATAAGGTAATAAAATAGATAATTAAATTGTTACTGATAGATTTGTAAATCTAAGATTAGGTACCAACTCTAAAAAAGTTAAATAAAATGGTACAGCTAAGAAGTTAGTTACTATAATAGGGTTTTTATTTATTTTTAGTGGGCGCCCGCGACTTTGTCTGCGTGGAAAAACTGGTTTCCCATACAAACTTCCTCCTCCCTTTAAAGCAGGGTTTCTTAAAGTGTGGTCCACGGACCCCTTAGGGGTCCGTAGCAGGTGTATCAGGGGTCCGTAGGAGGTGAGTTTGCAAAAATATTTTTCAAAAAATTGTGTGGTGTGGGGCGCGGGCCCGGACTACAAGCTAGCGCGATGAGTCTTTGGCTTTGACCGTTATTGCGCAGAAGTCAAAAATTGGGTATCGAATGCTATGATTGGCGGTACCCATGCGCAGTATCCCCTCCACTCTGCGGTCAAAGCCAAAGACTCATCGCGCGAGCTGTATGTACGCGTGAGTTCTCGCCGCCGCCGCCTCGCCCCACCACCGCCCGCGCCACCCGCTCGCTCACTCAGTCGCTGCGCGCCGCACGGCACATCGTACCCGCCACTTGCATTGTTTTTAATTAATTAGTGAAACGTACAGGTACGTAAAAAGAGGATTAATAATAATAAGTATTTTTTAATTATACAAACTTACATATTCAATTGTGTAACGTACCTAATTGTATATTACATTGTTTCAGTTTGTTCAAGAAAATGTCAAAGAAACGAAAGTATGACGAGTCTTATGTTAACTTTGGGTTTACTTTCGTGACTGAACGTGATGGAACTCAAAAACCGCAGTGCTTTTTATGCGGAAAAGTGCTTGCTAATGGAAGTATGAAACCAGCAAAGTTGTCAGAACATCTTAAAACTGTCCACCCTGGAAATGTATGCGACAGCATTGATGACTTTCGTACTAAGAAGGCTCGGTTTGAAAAAGCCGGCACTTTACCTAAATTAGGATTCACCCCGACACAAAAACCATGTCTTGAGGCATCGTACAAGGTTACTTACCGTATTGCTCAGCAAAAGAAGCCACATACTATCGCGGAAACATTAGTGAAGCCTTGCGCACTGGATATTGTGGAACTTGTGTGTGGTAAGAATGAAAGAAAGAAGGTTGAAGCTGTTCCCTTATCAAACGATGTTATTCATTCTAGAATTGTTGAAATGTCGTCAAATGTTTTAAAGCAGGTTATTGAAGAATTGAATGCTTCACCGTTTCCGTTCAGTATGCAATTGGATGAAAGCACCGATGTATCACAATGCAGCCAACTCTTGGTGTTTGTCCGTTATGTAAAACATGATACGCGTAGTATCAAAGAGGAGTTTCTTTTTTGCGACTCACTTTTAGAAACTACGAAGGCTTCAGATGTCTTTGAAATGATAAAAAAATTTTTCATCGCACAAAATGTAGACTGGAAGACTAAACTTGGTAGTATATGTACCGATGGAGCTCCCGCGATGCTTGGTAATACATCTGGGTTTGCGGCTTTGATCAAGAAAGAGTGCCCTCATGTTATAATCACTCATTGTGTCTTGCATCGACATGCCTTGGCTTCACGAACTATGCCTACTTTTTTGAAGGAAGTTATGTCTACATGTGTCAAAATAATTAACTTCATCAGAGCAAGAGCCTTAAACCACCGCCTGTTTAAAAAGCTTTGTCAAGAAATGGGTTCAGAACATGAAGTACTTCTTTACTACACAGAAGTTCGTTGGCTGTCAAGGGGACAAGTATTGAAGCGCTTGTTTGAGTTGCGAGAAGAAGTGTTACTTTTTCTGAAAAACAAAGAAAATTCATTGTATGAATATCTTGAAAGAGAAGATTTTGTGGAAGGGCTAGCGTACTTAGCTGATATATTTACTCATTTGAACGAGATTAACCTGTCTCTTCAGGGTCTTGCAGTCACCATTGTGGATGCGTCTGAACGGCTGAAAGGTTTTTTAGGTAAACTGCCACTTTGGAAAAGGAGAGTGGAATCAGGTAATTTTGCAAATTTTCCGATGTTGGAAGAGTTGATAATGCAAAAAACACAAAGTGACGGCCACACGACATCAAAGAAGGTACAGAAAGAGGTGTCTAAGCATCTGGAAACATTGCAGACGTCTTTTGAAGGTTATTTCAGCCCAGAGTCGCTTGAAAAAGAAACATGGGTGCGGAGCCCATTTTTAATCGATATTGACAGCATTAGTGATGAAGATCTTATTAAAGATGATCTAATTGACATGAGATCAAAAGAAGTTTTGAAAGCTGAATTTCAGGCAAAAGATCTTGGCGACTTTTGGGGTTCCTTAAGTCAAGCTTACCCTCTTCTAGTCAAGCGAGCTATGACCATTTTGATACCGTTTGCTACTACGTATCTTTGCGAGGCAGGGTTCTCGATTCTGATGTCAATAAAGACAAAAAGTCGCAATCGGTTGAACGTCGCAGATGACATGCGACTTGCCTTGTCGAAGACAGTCCCACAAATTAACGTTCTCATTGAGGCCAAACAACAGCACCCTTCTCATTAACTTATTTCTTAATAATTGTAATGATTAAAGTTCAAATAAATAAAAGTATTTTATATACTATATAAGTACGGCTTTTTTTTATAACAATTTTTTTTTGACAGTGGTCCGTAGAGTTGTTTAAATTTCGAAAGGGGTCCGTGACTGGAAAAAGTTTAAGAAACCCTGCTTTAAAGGATGATGTCTGGGTTGAAAACTATCCTATCCTATGTCCTTTTTCGAGACTCAAACTTCATTTTAGACAGACATACAGACATACTTTCGCATCCATCCGTACATCCATACTTTTTTTTTCTCTTTATTGGATCACCAACAGTTACTACATCAATACATCTTATTTAATACAATTTTACATTCAATGATATAATGTGACGTTTTTATTATCTTCTTCGCAATTTTTCCAAATTTTAAACCTTCCCTAGACCTCCGAGAACATTTCAAGACCAAGATAACATAAATCCGTTCAGCTGTTCTCGAGTTTTAGCGAGACTAACGTACAGCAATTGATTTATATATATATACTAGCGGACCCGACAGACGTTGTCCTGTCTACACGTCTTTGTGAATCTAAACCATTCTCAGATCCCCTTGAACACACACAAAAAATTTCATCAAAATTGGTCCAGTCGTTTAAGAGAAGTTCAGTGACATACACACTCACAGAAGAATTATATATATAAAGATAAGATTTTCATTATAAATTATACTCACTTTGACGGACACATTACAGCAACTCGAAACGTCAGCGAAGTAAACCTCAGATTCGGCGTTTTGATTCACCCCCCTGTGGCAGTCTTGCATCGAAGATCTAGTTCAAATAAGTATTATGTGTTACAAACATTAAACAAAATTAGTGTGCTCGGACCACACATCTGAAATAAAACTTCTTTTCTTAAGTAACGTAACATTAGGCGGTGCATAAGGCATAGGGGAATGGAGCAGCGCACGCATCATTTATATATATGTACTAGCTGACCCAGCGAACTTCGTACCGCCCTAAAAAAATAGGGGTTGTCCAGCGGACAAAATTGTGAATCTAAACCATTCTCAGATCCCCTTGAACACACACAAAAAATTTCATCAAAATCGGTCCAGTCGTTTAAGAGAAGTTCAGTGACATACACACTCACAGAAGAATTATATATATAAAGATATACAGGCAGTCCTCGACTTACGTCGTTTCGATTTACGTCGTTTCAAGTTACGTCAGACAATGTTTTGGCATTATTCCTCAAGCATACGTTAATTGTTTCCATTTCCGGCATAGGAGAATTCACTTGTCGGGAGGTCAATGTCCGTGGGGATATCTCGACTTACGCCGTTTCGATTTAAGTCGCGTATTTCGAGAACATAACTTGCCGTAAGTAAGAGGACTGGCTGTATATATATTTATTTTACCCTCCAACTTTCACGATCGTCGGGAAAGCTGCGCACGCAGCCAACACATATATACATATATATATATATATATATATATATATATATATAGAGAAGATCGATGGCGCAACTGGTTAGCGCGTTCGGCTGCGATCGTTGAAGTTAAGCAAGTTTCACAGTGGTCGGTCATTGGATGGATGACCAAAAATTTACTATCTCGTGCTCCACCGTGCTTCGGAAGGCACGTTAAGCCGTTGGTCCCGGTTGCATCTGCAGTCGTTAGCACCCACCAATCCGCACTGGGCCCGCGTGGTAGGTCATGGCCCAATATCCCTATTCCATCCATAGGGAACGCCTGTGCCCAAGCAGTGGGGACATTAATAGGCTACTGATGATGATATAAATATATATATATATATATATATATATATATATATATATAGTCGTGTTACGCTCGTGACGCATTTCCGTTTCATCTTTTTCACAGGATTTTTCCATTTACACCCCGTCCGAAAAGAAGTTTCACTTCAAACCAAAACGAAGGGTTCCGTAACATCATCAATACCATATCAAAGACTACCTATATTATAATTTCGAGCAAAAAACGACAAAAAAACGTCTGTTCAATGGGAGCCTCCCGTAAAAAATATTTATTCTGTTTTTCTGTAAGTACTTATTTATTGTTAAAACGGCAACAGAAATACGTTATCTGTGAAAATACCAACTGTCTAGCTATCACGGTTCATGAGATACACCCTGGTGACAGACACTCAGACGGTCAGTGAAGTCTTGGTAGTAGAGTCCCGTTATTACCCTTTAGTTACGGAACCCTAAAAAAATACTGTTATTGAGGAAAATATGTTAATATTTTGAAAAATAAGCATTAATTCAAACGATAATAAAAATTAAGGCGGACGTTTGAATGTTAACAATAAAAAGATTAAAGATTAACATTAAAACATACCTCATAGGCGAGTGTTTATCGTTCTGGAATCCCAAATTCTCTTTGCCTTGTTTCTGGGAAGAATCAGTGCTCTGATCGGATACTGAAAATAAAGAAGCGAAAATTTTGAAATAAAAATTAAATTCAATGCGCTGTTTTACACAGAAAAGAACGTTTATCACCTATATAACTATTAAATATTTAATAAATTATTCTTATAATGAAAACGTGAAAAAAAAACTTTCCGAAACCTTTTGAAGTACATTGGTCTCATGGAGAAGTGTGAGGTTTTGTAAAATTTGACGACTTTACTAACGAAAGCAATTTTTTTTATAAACTAACAAAATAAATGTATATTTTTTTGTACCTTTACTCCCAGACTTCGAATGCAAACATTCTATCCCCACACCTTCTTCCATTCTGCAATCCCTATGCAAATTCCCAGCACTCATGCCTAAGGATCTCTGGCAAGATCTGTACGGAACCAAATGTCCCCTTAAAGTGTTAAACCTGGCATCCGGAACTATATGCATTTCCGCTTGCATTCTAGACAATTCGTTGACATCCGCCGGAAACATTTGCATATGCTGCAAATCTGGATTCATTCTGGCCAATTCTGGGTTCAACCTCGCTAATTCGGGGTTCAATCTGGCTAGTTCTGGGTTCAATCTCGCCAATTCAGGGTTAATTCTAGCCAATTCTGGGTTCAATCTGGTCAATTCCGGATTCAATCTTGCCAATTCTGGATTCATTCTTGTTAAGTCTGGGTTGATTCTTGCTAATTCCGGGTTCATTCTTGCTACTTCTGGCATGGTTTGTTGCATGTATGAATTTCTACACGTATGTGGTTGTATATTGTGATCGTGCATAGAATTTCTATGGACGTCTATGTGATGGTGATGAAGTAGAGTCGCAGCTGCCGGATCTTGGTGAAGATGATGCCTGAAACGAGATAATAATATAATAAGAGAAATTGTCTAAAATTCAATGCCATATTCAAATTGGAAGCATAAAACAACTGTTTTGAATCGTCTATATTGTTTCCCTACCTTTTAGGACATTTTCTAGCTTTGGTGAAAAACGGACGAAAAAATATTCACAACTTTAAATTGTGTAACATTTTTTATAAAATTTATAGTATGACAGTGAAACATAGTGTAATCCTAAATCTCAAACTAGGTAAAAAAATTATGTGTGCTATTTCTCAAATCAGGTAATATTATGTGACGATCGAATTTCATTTAAATCAATTGTCTTTTTAGCTGAACTAGTTATTTCTAAATGCTAACTCTTTTTTGTGATTGTTGTTCTTATAGCTAACTTAAAAATGTAGGAAAAAGGTTAACCAAGAAACGTTTTAAAATTATAATAGGCTTTACTTAACAAGTTATTGAAAACGTTCATAAGTTATTTATTATATTTCTGTTCCATATATCTGTATAAAAACTAAAAAAAAAAATTGTTTTCAATAAAGAATTGCGTGTTTACAGGCAGGTGATGTCACGCGGCTCTCTTAATAAAACGCCAAACAGAGTTAACTAAAGTATTGTCACTTCGTCAGGCCATTTACAAGCACGTGACGTCATTTTAGGCTCCACCAATCCTAGGCGTATTCGGTCACGTGGTAATAGATCAAACAATAATTTTCTATTTTATGATTTTCGGTAATATTTATCAACTACTTTTTTTTATCAGAATAATGAAATCGCTGTGAAGGTTCGCGTTACGTACACATGCCAAAATTGGTACTAAATTATTCATACTGTCAAATTGCCTATAAATATTTCATAAATTATAATTTGATTGCTTACCTGCTACCACTTCTTCCTTGAGGACTATAAGGAGGGGGAGGTCCCCAAACACCAGTTTGTGCGTCAAAACTTCCACTAGTTTCCCCAAAACCTTCTTGGAAATTCTGGACCTGGCCAATTTGAGCTGGATAATTCTGGCCAAAACTCTGACCCTGGCTAAACCCCTGGCCTTGGCTGAAACCCTGGGCTTGACTAAAGTTTTGGTTCTGTGGGAATGACTGGTTTTGCCGCATATTAGGGAATCTTTCGTCGTAACCCTGGGGTGTGGGGTTCGAGTCCGCGTCGCAGAAGCCGTACGCACTATCACCCGATTGGGGAACGCCGTTCGGCATTCGGCAGCGAGAACTGGGAATAGAAAGTAAAGGTTGTATGTAAAGTCGGTTTACGGACGATAGTTTCACGTGATGACGTCATAGAGAAACAATGATGAAAATTTGCATAATGACGCTTGGGCCAATCGTGCCTCTCTATCGCTTGTTCCACGCTCTCGTTTTGTACGCTCAGGCGGAACGTGACACTATTTAGTGCGTGCAGCCGGTGTTCATCGATTTATAACACGTTATCACGTCAGAAAAGTAGAATGAAAATCCAGTTTATTTTGCGTAAATAACATTTTTTTTCAATAATAATATTATGAATGCGAAAGTGTCTGTCTTTCTATTTGTCTGTCTATCTGTTACCTCTTCACGCTTAAAGCTGTGGATTTTTTTCTAGTAAACTTTTCTTTAGATTTTGACATCTAACAGTTAATTGCTTAAAAAATAAAAACATGAAGACAAAAGTTCTATAAAAAAGTCGGCAACAACATAAATGTCTTTCTTTTAAGTTTGACTCACTATAAACTATTTTCGACAAGAAGTTCAAGTCAACTAGTAATGGTATAAATTAGTACCTATGTACTTACTTTTGGCTATTACTCCTGGGCCAAGGGAACCAACTCCAAGCGGAAGTCTTTCTGCCAGTACCAGGGTTAGGAGAATAAAGATTACCGATACGACCTGAAATAAAATACTTGAAATAAATATCATGTATCATAATCAGTACCCTTAGCACGAACCAATATCAAATTCGTAACGTTTGCGAGTCCGAAATGTCATTGTCAAATGTGTACTGTGTTTTGGTTCTATAACGATGAACAATTACTGTATGATATATAATATAAGTTTACATGTGATATGAGCTCTCTGTATATTTTTTTCGCACAAAAATAATACTCGTTTTTCTGATTTATGTATATTTTCCTAGTAACTCTTAAAGGAGATTGCTCAGCTTCCATACATGTTTGCCCTAAAGACCAATAATCATGAAAAATTGTTTCCAAGATTCGAAATCTTTATATATATAATTCTTCTGTGAGTGTGTCACTGAACTTCTCTTAAACGACTGGACCGATTTTGATGAAATTTTTTGTGTGTGTTCAAGGGGATCTGAGAATGGTTTAGATTCACAATTTTGTCCGCTGGACAACCCCTATTTTTTAGGGCGGTACGAAGTTCGCTGGGTCAGCTAGTTATACATAAATTACTGTAGAAACGAATATTATTGACGGACACCCCTGAGAACTTCTATAAACTATATACACTGAACATATTAAAATAATAAAAAACAAATAAGTTATATAGTAAACTAGGGAAATCAAGCCAAGTACCGAAATTATGGATTAGATTCAGGTATAAAGAGCATGTAGATTAACAGATAGTTGCCTGTTTTTAAAGTTAATGCATAAGAGTAACTTTTAAAATCAGGTGTCATTTCCGGTTATAATAAGGTGCTCTGTGACAGAAACTGTGTGATGATTGTGAATGAGCCACAGATTAGAGAGAATTTTTAAACTCTAGTTAACCAAAGAAAGCTAAGAGATTTAGGTTCTATAGCCGTATATTCAGTAGCTTCATTATTTTTGTTATGTTTTTAAGATAACCATTTTTTAGATTTTTAGTGTATCACACCTTATAATTTTACTTATTTATTAATTTATAGTCACGGAACGTAGGCCCATAGATAGATACCTTAAAGTCTAACATATATACAGATTATAATGTGTTTATGGAGGTCTTTGGCGAAAAATGTATGGCAATAGACTTTATGATGTCGCCTACCATCTATAATAATTGTCTGAGCACATTTGCATGTAGTGAAAATGATATTATAGTTGTGGATATTAATACCACAGTGTAATAAAAAAAATATTTATTTTATCGATCTTTACAAAATAGATTTGTTTTTATGTTGTATAAACAACTTCGATCAGTCTTTGGCTGAATGTTACTACACCCATAGCCATTAAAAATGATTCGTATGTTTTCCAAACCGGTAATATTAAAAGTCCTTTTTGAAGTAAATATATTATACAAAGGTGTCCGTTGAAATCTAATGATTGTAAATTAAATTATAAATTACGCGAAAAATTACCGTGTATGACATACACTGTATGTCAATATTTTTTGTGCATTTAGGCCAATTTGAGCAATCTCCTTTACAAAATTTATTAAACACCTATAAAATGCATTTTAATAAGCATCTACGTAGTTTTTTAAAGTACATTTTTTTATTAATAAAGAGAGTATAGGTTCTTTATAGCAACTAAATACAATTTAAATGTCCATGTGTGTTTGTAAAGTTGATGTTTCCAAATTATTAATATCATTAATGATTTATATGTTCCTGCTACTTTTATAAATATCTAAAACTTATAAATGGGCAGTCATTGCATTCAGTACACCTAGCACGAACCAATATCGAATTCGTATCGTTTGCGAGTCCGAAATGTCATTGTCAAATGTGCACTGATTTTTATTTCTCGTTACGTACGATATGGCGCTAATGTTCAAGATTTCGTACAAAATATGACAATGACATGCCAGGCTTGCAAACTATTCGAATTCGATAATGGTTCGTGCTAGGGGTACTGTAAACTGTTAGATTTATAAATCGAAACAAAAAGCCTGTCTGAGTTTGTTTCGCCAGTTCTTCTCAGAAAGGTCTCTCGATTTGGAACTGGTGGTTGTTTACAGTAGTTAGGGTCAAATAAATAAACACAAAAATTAATAAAGAATTAAATAAAGTAGTTTATTAATTAAATTGGCTAATAAATTCATAAATCATTCATTCATTAGTTAATAAATTCACCATACTTTCAAGGATGTATCCGAACGCTCAATTCTACTCTTCAAGTCTTTCGAAGGTGGCTCGACAAAAGTAGATAAAATAAATAATTCTGACGACGCAACCGCAACGACGCAAAAATAAAATGTCATCTAAGGTGACCCACCTTGAAAAGAACAATAAAACCAACCAAACCAAAGAGCCCAGCTATATTAAATAAAACTAGTTTTTACGGGTTAATGCACGAAACTTTATTTATTTATTGACCTTTCGTAGCCTTTACAGGCTACGTCGTCAGAATTAAACTTTATTAGAAGTTAAAAGAGAACTTTTATTTTTGCGGGCGAGTGTATATACTTTTCTTTCTCCTCTCCGTCCAGAAATTACATTTTAAAAAAAAGATCATTCAATATTAACCTGGAGCCCAGAATCTGTGCTGCAGACTTATATCCCACGCTGGAGTCGGATGACACTGTGCACAGCATCCGCAGTTACTCTGACAAACAAACAGAGAATAAACATTATTTTTATAATAAAAATAATACCTAGTTAATTGATCTTAGAAATCCTTTAGGTCATCAATTGTATTTTAGCTGATCTTTTATAATAGGGTATTTGACAGTGTTCAAAATAAAGTGCCAATTGTTGGCATCTGTGTTTAGAATGAATATTGGCAGGGGTTTTTACTATTTTTACAAAAAAAAATATTTATAATTTTACTAAAAACTAACGAAAAAGATAATAGTTTTCTTATCTATTGTCACGTGACTCAAAACGCTTGGGATTGGCGGAGCTTAAAATGACGTCACACGCAAGTAAACTTCCGGTTTAAGTGACATTACATTGTATCGTGACGTTTTAATAACAGTCGTGTGAGTAAGACGCCATATTGTCCACAGAAACGTTTTCGCGGCAACTTGAAAATGGAGTTTTGGATTTGGTTATATTTACTGAAATACACTATTGTGTACGATGAACATTCTTTTTACGGACTCCATAAACATTAGTCAATAACGTGAGATCGTTTTCTAAAACTTATGAAAAACGAAATTTCTATGGAAACTTCGCACTTTTCTTTCTGTTTCTGGTTCGTTTTAAATTATAATAATATTCGTCGTCCCTACGAGGTGGACCGCGATCTTGTGAAGGTCGCGGGAAGCCAATGGATGCGTGTGGCGCAGGATCGATCAATGTAAATATCCTTGGGAGAGTCCTATGCTCAGTAATGGGCATCGTACAGCTGACATGATGATGAAACATAATGTACAACATGAAGCAAAATATATAAATAGATGATTTGACGACCTCCGTGGCCGAGTGGTTTGAAACGCCGGGTTTCATAGTTTCGCTAACTCGAGAGGTCCCGGGTTCGAATCCCAGTGGGGGCAGATGTTTGTGTGATGAATATGAATATGAGCATTTGTACTCCAGTCATGGAAATTTAATATGTATTTCTATATAAATATACTTATATATGTACAGTATATGTATTCTATCCGTTACCCTAGCATCCCATAACACAAGCCTTACTGCTTACTTTGGAGCTAGGCTAATTGGTGTGTGTGTTGGAAATATTTATTTATTTTATTTATTATTTTATACCTGTACAGGTCTGCCCGTAGAGGGCGCCGCTTGTCCGGTGGGCGGGCGGTACAATGAGCGACACCTCAACTCTAACTGCTCCCAGTACATTTTCTTGCGCTCGTGGCTGTGACAAACATAACATATAAACATGGACATATTTTTATAGGTATGTTTTTTAAGCATTTCACTGCTAGATGTTTAAATCTAAAGAAAAGTTTACTTTGTTTGATACCTACACGCGTTCCTTAGAAAAATGGTCTTGACAGACGGACGGACGGACGGACAAAAAAGTGATCCTATAAGGGTTCCGTTTTTTCCTTTTGAGGTACGAGTCCCTAATGAATGAGAAATATGAAACTATACATGCACTTCCGGACATATCTATCGGCCCATTTGGTAATATAAGTTTCAACGGTCTGTAAAATAAATATTAAATTAGATTGAGCAATATTAATATCTATATATATAAAACTCAAAGGTCAGTCACCTTTGAGTTTTATATATATCGTTTCGTATGTCAGTGACATAGTGATCTATCTATCAACGCACAGCCCAAACCACTGGACGGATCGGGCTGAAATTTGGCATGCAGGTAGATGTGATGACGTAGGCATCCGCTAAAAAAGGATTTTGATAAATTCTACCCCCAAGGGGATAAAATAGGGAATGAAAGTTTGTATGAAACTTTGTCAATTTTCAACCGATCGGGCTGAGACTTTGCGTGCAGGTATAAGAAGAATCATAGATGAATGTCATTGTGTATAATACAAGCCTGAGAACAAAAACTGTAGTCTACACTTCAGCTCTACACCGAAGTGAAGCGAGGGCAGGCCTCTAGTATTTTATAAAACCCGACACCGTGTTCCGGTGCCGGGTAACCAAATATTGCTTCGGGTGCCCCAATACGAGTGAGGTTTTTCGTGTATCCGAATACGGGCTAACGACCAATTTGTATTCTAATGTTTTTCTCAAACACTCCCACTCAGTCTAGCATAGAGCTTTAATGTTTTATCTCGAGGAAAAGTTCTTGGTGCAAAAATAATAACAAAATAATGTTCGTTCATTATATTTGAATAAATTACTTTTGTTTAAGAATGAATAATAAGAAATTACTAAAGTTGTAACATAATCATCATAATATTAAAAAATACAACGATTTTAAAACCCCAAAAACTTCACATAAAAATAATCGTCCAATCAAATATTATAAACGGCGATGTTTCCGAACTGGAATATAAACTCCTCCAAAAGTTTGTACAACAATCGCATGCTTTCATGTGCCAATAACCAACACTTCTAACGAGCCAACACGTCTTCCCTATCATTCGTTGCTATGACTACTGAGTGCCATAGTAACACCTATTTTAACACCACCTGACAATTTCACACTTCACCGTCAAACTATTTTAAAATCCACCTTATTTACAACGAGTCATTCAAACAACAAAGATCTGCGATTTTATCGCGTGACATAACATTCACCAAAGTGAAAATTTTATTTTAGATTATTTTTTCATTATTAATAATGTCGCACCATCGGAGTAGTTTTAGCCAAAACTCGCAGTGCTTCTCTCAATACAATCTAAGCGAAATCACGGATACGGAGCTCATAAAACAAGTAAGCGATCTAAAGCAGCAAATAAAGGTGGTGACTTTAGAGAATGAGATTTTGGAACGGACCATAATGAGGTTGGAGCCATCGCTGATGAACGGGGTGCAACAAGCTTTGGACTACGCGAACAGATTGGCCAGCACTTCGACTTTGAACGTCGGCAGTTTTGTGAGATCGCAAAAGTCAACTATAGGCGGTTTCGACTTCGCTTCAAGTCCATCCAGACTTTTGACCAGCCCGTCAAAAGTGTCAACCAGAAGAGTAGACTCATCAGCGAGAATCGGAGGAACCGTTATATTCGGGACAGGTCCAAGAATCAATGTTTTAGAGCGGTCGGAACTGGTTTCAACGGAAAAGGAGATACTGTTACTGAATATGCAGAAGGAAAGAATGAAGGCGGCGAAGCAACAAGCCCTGCTGAGAGCGCAGTTGGAAGAGATCGATGTTAGAGAGGTCGATATACAGAAGGCGTGCGTGCTTTTCAATCAAGAAGTAATTGAAGATGGTTGGGATAAGATAGCTCAGAGAATACCAGCAGAGATTTGGATCAGGTGAGAATTGAATCGTATTGGGAAGGTCTGATGATGACTAAGTTTCTTATGTTTGGACGTTTCAAGGCTTGCAATAACTAGGTACTATCTTATTATACTGTGCTCACGTTTATCAGTAAAATATAAAATTATGTCAAACTAGCAAAGGGACATTGGCCGAAGTAATAACTACTAGAACATCCGGCCAGTTTATAGAAAAGGTTAGTTTTCGTGGACTATTTTATTATTTGTATAGAGCTATAGAGTATTCTATGATTCATTTCAATTCAATTTATTTGCATTCCAGAGTGATGAAAATGGATTTTATTGTTAAAATTCATTTAGGACCTACTCTTTTATTAATCAAACTAGAAATAACTTCACAAGCTTTTTTGCTGATCTGACAATATCTAGTCCCATGACACGGTCGATACAAGAGTCTTTAACTAAACATCTTGATCGTTTCAGATTCATGACGGAATGGGTAAAAACTACAGACAGTCAAATAGGAAAACTTCGATTGAGAACGAGCACTCTTAACACGCAATACAGCAAACTAAAAGGCCAGATCAAAGTCAAGGCAGAGTTGAGCGAAAGCCTTTGCCCGGTAGACTTCGAAAAACTAGAAATCGAGAACGGCGAATGCTTGTCAATCATAGATAGTAAACTGCAGCAACTGGGAGAGTTGAAGAAGATGACAGGGGACGCGAATTTGAACCTTTCGATACACAAGAAGGCACTGATGGAGCAAAATAACTACTTAACGAGTATCATCAAAACAATAAAGGATAGACAACGGATGACGGTGGAGTTGGACAAAGAGAGAGACGCTATAAAGGCACAAGCTGATAGTTTATCACAGAAACTGGAAGATGTCAAAAGTATACGTCGAGCTTACGAAGTACCAGAGATTATGGATTATGTGACTGTGAAAGCGGAAGTCGCTGATTTAAAGCACTGCATCAAACTGTTGGATAACCGATTGAACATACAGAAATTCGCTTTGTCGACAGTGAATAAGAAATTGAACACGATACTGCGCAAGTAATGTTTTTGGCACTATAGGTAGCGAGAAACTCCTTGAGCAAAACCAAGTTACGCAGTATACATTTTTCTTCATAAAATTTTTACTGCGCAAGCTTCGTTGTCAGTGCCTGGGTGTAACTTACGTTTATTTCATCTTTTTAATATTTAATTTTAAATCAAATTAAAGATTTATACAATAATTATATTATTATCATTGTTATCGTCAGTTTAGTGTAATATTGTTGTCTATTATTTGGATTACAGAAGAAAATTAGAATAAAATATATGAATATTTAAAGTTGACGCATTTTTCTTAGCCTATTAGAAATTTCCTTATCTTCATAAATTAAAAACTTATACGTTGTGTCGATCAGCGAAAGCAAGTCGATATAGCCAATATAGGAAATTCACACCAGCTGTTCCACACATACTTCATCAGCCTATTCTTTTTTGGAAGGCCAAAGAGGCGCTGAGAGACAGATAGACACACAGACACAACCCTCACCTCAGCAGCTGGTAGGCCAGCATGCTACAGAACACGCACACGAGCACGGCGCTGAGACACAGACACACACAGACACAACACTCACCTCAGCAGCTGGTAGGCCAGCATGCTACAGAACACGCACACGAGCACGGCGCTGAGACACAGACACACACAGACACAACACTCACCTCAGCAGCTGGTAGGCCAGCATGCTACAGAACACGCAGGCGAGCGCGGCCGGAATATCTTTCTCCGATGAGCACGGCGCTGAGACACAGACAGACACACAGACCCAAAACTCACCTCAGCAGCTGGTAGGCCAGCATGCTACAGAACACGCACACGAGCACGGCGCTGAGACACAGACACAACACTCACCTCAGCAGCTGGTAGGCCAGCATGCTACAGAACACGCAGGCGAGCGCGGCCGGAATATCTTTCTCCGATGAGCACGGCGCTGAGACACAGACACACACAGACACAACACTCACCTCAGCAGCTGGTAGGCCAGCATGCTACAGAACACGCACACGAGCACGGCGCTGAGACACAGACACACACAGACACAACACTCACCTCAGCAGCTGGTAGGCCAGCATGCTACAGAACACGCACACGAGCACGGCGCTGACACTAAGGGCGAATACTCCGCGCAGGCACCAGTACAGCGCGCCGTGGACAACACCACAAGAGCTAACGCCGTCGAAAACGCAACGAACACCTTGAACAGAACATACAGAATGAAATTATTATTATGAACCTATTTATGTCCCCGTTGCTGGGGCACAGATCTTCTCTATACATGGAATATGGAGATTGGGCTATAACCCACCACGCGGGCCCTGTACGGATCTGATGGGTGCTAATGGCTGCAGATACAGCCGAGATAAACGGCTTAACTAGCCTTCCGAAGCATGAAAGAATGAGAGATACGTTTTTGATCACAGATCCATCCAATATTTTTCCTATCACCCATTCAGCCCCGTAGCAATGAGCACCACAATTTACATTATATCACGTTTTATATCGCGTCCAACTGTCAAAATCCATAGTAATTTGACATCTGCCCCCGTAGCATTAGCACCGCGATATGATATATAACACGTTTTTATCACGCTCAATTGTCAAATTACTTTGTAGTTTGTCAGTTAGACACGATAAAAAACGTGATAAAATGTAGTGCTCATGCTACAGGGATTGGGTGTGGTAAAAACGCGTTACATATCATATCTTGTAGCTGATAAAGAAAATAGGCGCATGAAACTCATCAGCATTTAACAGAAGTAGCAACCATTACATAAAATCATGACGCTACCAATAAAATGTCCACTCACATTTTAATTGCTGTGTCACAGTTTGCGACTAGGTAAACTACGTTCAAGATGAAATCGGGTGGAAATGCCAAATGCGTACATTCGTAATTATAAAATTGGGAAAGTCCAAAAAGACGTCATAAATTCATGCATTGCGTAAATCTATAACCTGATTGAATATATACAAAAAAAAACCACGGGTGTGCCGGCAGAAGTGAAAACTTGAAACGCGTTGTGCATTTTTGATATTTTGGAATGGTTAGGGAATAATTTTGCACGAATTGCTTTAATTAATTATCAGTATAAAAGTACTATCATGTATGTGGTACGTTTTTTTTTCACGTATAAGCGCACTTAGCGACATCTTTTGTAAAGAAATCAACTTACATGAATCACATTTAAGCGCACCTAGCGACATCTATGTAAAAAAATGCATTTTCTTCGCAATAAAGCTGCCATGTGGACGTCCTTGATAGAGACTTATTATTATAAAAAAAAAAAAAAAAAAAAAAAAAAAAAAATGGTGGCTGTTGACAACACATGCGCATCAATTTTAATGAAATAAAAATAGTGCGACATATTCAAAGGCACTAAGGACCCGTGGCTGGCGTTCGTTGGAGCCACCTCTTGCCCGGAGTGTGTGGACGGTGTCGTGCGGTGTCTTATTGTGCTAATTTTGAAACAATCAGCTGATCAGCGCTGCTCGCATTTGACAACCACGACGCCATAGGGTCGCCCTGGAGACCATAAGCGTTGTACCGGGTCGCCTAGTTACAACATAGCTCCAGAAGAAATAACTCTACGGAGTCCTCCTGCGCGCGCAGCTGTCAAGATGCGCGGTGTCAGTCTGCGCACCTCTGCTGCTGCCAAAACTGACCAATTCTATTGTATTATATTTTTATAGTGCTGTTTTTATTTTTTTTACAAATTCTGTTAATTTAAATAGTTTATAAGTGAATTAGTGATAAGTTGCATGCAAAGCCAAGACGCAGGAACTTCTACTGCCAACGCATCACTAGAGAACCATGTCCAGTGCAGGCTCTGCGCGCAGCCCCGGTTTTTCAAAGGTGAGAGAGGCTTACGTATCCATATTGGTAAATGCCATAAGCCTCTAAATATACATAGCTCAGTACCAGCCTCTTTACCTGTTCAAAATTTACACTTATCCGAACCATTTTGGCTCCAAATCGCCCATCTAAAACAACATGTCCCATTGCTAAAACGTATCCCAAGGGGTGCAAGAGTTACCGTCGCCCAACACCTGACTAAACTCATTCGAGATACTGTACGCCTCAACTCAAACCACTCCTGGGAGCGTTTACTAACCTTTCCCTTTCGTATCCTTCATATCGAAAAAGGCACGGACCGCGATTTGTCGCTCACGACACTTATTAAACGCAACTGCAGTACCAACCTAAATCCGACCTTATTCCAATCCCCAGTTTCCTACTCCCCAACATTAATTCGTAACCCATTAAAATATATAGAAAATAAGATAAGTGATGGCGACATCAAGGGTGCTGCGCGTTTATTATTTTCTAACGATGCGGTGGCACCGGACTCTCCAGAGACTCTCTCTGCCCTGCAAGCCAAACACCCGTCCCCAGCATGCAACGAGACTTTCCCCACAGCACCTGGCCTCGCAGACCAACCGCTTCAAACATCCAAAGATGCCGTCCGCTTTGCACTTTCTTCCTTTCTTCCAGGATCAGCGGGCGGCCTTGATGGCCTATCCCCACAACACCTTAAGGACCTTACCAGTGGATGCTGTGGTGAAGCCGGCGACTCTCTGCTTGAGGCCATTACCTCACTGTGCAATTTGATGCTGAGTGGGAAAGTTGCCACCGATATCGTCGACCTACTATATGGAGCCAATTTATGCGCCCTTAGAAAAAAAGACGGCGGCATCCGCCCCATCGCAGTAGGTTCGACATATCGACGTCTCGTTGCTAAGATCTGCTGCAAAGCTACAGCGGATACGCTCGGGACTTATTTCCAGCCTATACAACTTGGGTTTGGCTCTAAAGGCGGCTGCGAGGCTGCCGTACATTCGCTCCGAGCCTTTGCAGAGTCCAAGGGTGGTGAGGTAATTTTAAAAGTCGACGTCAAAAACGCTTTCAATACCGTTGATAGGGGCACCATGCTGTCACAAATCAGACTGAGGGCTCCAGCTCTATATAACTTTATGTGGCAGTGCTACAGCAAACCATCAAAACTTTTATATAAAGACCACCTCCTATCCTCCTCAGTCGGATGCCAGCAGGGTGACCCTCTCGGCCCAGCCATTTTTAGTCTGGCTATACACCCAATCATCGACCATCTAAATTCTAAATTAAATATGTGGTATCTTGATGATGGCACCCTAGGAGGCGACGTGACCACAGTCCTCTCTGATTTTCTTATGCTTAAAAACGAGTTTAGCAAAATAGGCCTGGAACTAAATTTTGCAAAATGCGAGATTTTTGTTCCAGAAAGCCTCGACAACAGGGAGGCAATCATTTCTAAATTCCAACTAATAGCTCCAAGCATAAGACTGTTAGATAAGAAATCACTTTGCCTCCTAGGGTCCCCGATTTTTGATGAATCACTCCCAGTTTTTATAGATCAAAATTTAAAAAAATATGAAGAAGTTTTTGAACCTTTACTCAAAATTAACTGCCAAATGGCCTATGTCATAATCCGGTACTGTCTTTTCGTCCCTAAATTTACGTATGTCTTGCGATGCTGTCCACTTTGGAAATTTCCCTCTCTCTTAACAAAGTTGGACGGTGTCATAAGACATACTCTCTCCTCTGTCTTAAATATAAAATTTGACCTCCGTTCCTGGACCCAAGCATCACTCCCAGTTAGGTTCGGTGGTTTGGGTGTACGCAACACTTCGGACGTCTCCCTCCCGGCCTTCATTTCTTCCATACACTCTACCGAACCACTCGTTGCGAAAATACTTGGGCGTCCTTTGAGCGAGTCCTTGTTCTCGCTTCTAGATGAAGCCGTAGCAACCTGGAGTGCAGCATGCCCTGACACCGACGTCCCGACGGACCCTGCCTCCCAGCGACTTTGGGACGCGCCACTCTGCAGGCTGAAACGCAATGCGCTTGTAGAAACAGCTAGCAGTCCCGCAGACCGTGCGCGTCTCTTAGCCGTTGGCGAGTGGGAGTCTGGACTATGGCTGCAGGTACTGCCTTCCACGAATATCGGTACGCTCCTAGACCGCTCAACTTTTCGCATAGCCACGTCCTTGCGCCTTGGCTCGCCCTGTGTCGTCCCCCATCTTTGCCGGTGCGGAGCGTTTGTCACCAACCTCGGCCATCACGGTCTCTCCTGCACAAGGAGTGCCGGCCGTATAACCCGCCACCACTGCATCAACGATGTCATCCGCAGGGCCCTCGCCTCCGCCAGCGTGCCTGCCGTTTTAGAACCAAGCGGCCTGGCGCGCGACGACGGTAAGAGGCCCGACGGCATGACACTCGTTCCTTGGAAGCTGGGACGGGCACTTGTGTGGGACGCAACCTGCGTCGACACTCTGGCCCCGTCTCATATTCCCGGAACCTCGATGCAGGCTGGCGCGGCTGCTTCGACCGCAGAGGCCCTTAAGCGCCGCAAGTATGATTGCCTCAGTGGAGACCTCACATTTGCGGCGTTTGGAGTCGAGACTCAGGGACCCTGGGGCTCCGGTGCCCACCATCTTTTCAAAGAAATCGCAAAAAGATTGGTGGAGACCACTGGAGACCGCAGAGCTGGCGGCTATTTCGCCCAGCGCATAAGCCTCGCCATTCAGCGGGGAAATGCCGCCAGCGTCCTGGGAACCTTTGCCGACGGGGAAGACCTAGGGCAGCTATTTTTTTAATATTTTTAATATTTGTATAGTTTTAGTATAGTTTTAGTTTAATATTTGCCATGTTACTTATTTATACTATCCCTTAATAAATTATAATATTTTAATACGGGTAAATAAAATATTACTATGTTCCGTCCAATATATTGAAAGTCAACAACCTTTCCAATTTTATTGTGTGTCATGATGCGATCAGCCCACGTGTTTAACCTGACGCAATTTTAACATTTTTCACCCATTACAAAAAAAAGTGTACAACGCCGCTAAATAAGTTTTCACTTCAAAATATGAAGATAAAAAAGAGACGATTTTGATTTTATGATGTTCACAGCAAAATCAAAGATATCAAATTTTCAGCGTTATATACGAGTATATTGTTTAATAATAACAAGATAATGTAATTACCATCGTCATCACTGGTGCTGTGCTGGGCATCAGGTTGAGTCGTAAAGCAAGTGCAGGTTCGAGTCAGTTTGGTGTACTCGCAGAATTTCAGCGTTTGAAGCCTGTAGAACAAATGTCATCATGATCATCATTATCAGCCTATGTCATGTCCCCACTGCTGGGATACAGGCCTTCTCAGTGGATGGAATAGGGAAATTGGGCCGTGTCCCACCACGCGGGCCCAGTGCGGATTGGTGGATGCTAACGACTGCAGATGCAGCCGGAACCAACGGCTTAACGTGCCTTCGTAAGCACGGAGTTAAAGATAATAAATGTTTGGTCACCCATTCTAAAATCGGCGCTTGCGACAATTACTTGACATTCACGATCACAGATCGAACATGCCGACTATACTATTCGATTCGCTTGAAATTTGTTACTTTTAGAATCATTTTAGTTAAGAAACACACATAACTAGAATTTTGTACATGGCTGTCAATCTGAACCATACAATAGAAAAATTTCTTTCTTCTGTTCTCGGAAGAGAAAAAGAACTTGAAAAAAAAACCTCCCGGACCAGCTTGCAGACGGGACTCGAACCCGCACCCTTCGCTATCAGGGCGAATTCACTGACATTATTCTACCGTGGCCCTGATGGCCGTGTCGAATTTTCTCTAGTACTTCTTAGGCTGCAAGGCAGCGCCATCCCTAACTACAATGCGATTCCTAGTAAAATTTTCTTTAGATTTAAACATCTAGCAGTTCTGTGCTTATCTTTATATATATAATTCTTCTGTGAGTGTGTATGTCACTGAACTTCTCTTAAACGACTGGACCGATTTTGATTATTTTTTTTGTGTGTGTTCAAGGGGATCTGAGAATGGTTTAGATTCACAATTTTGTCCGCTGGACAATGTCTTTTTAATTAAATTTTTTTATGGCGGTACGAAGTTCGCTGGGTCAGCTAGTCTTTATATATATAATTCTTCTGTGAGTGTGTATGTCACTGAACTTCTCTTAAACGACTGGACCGATTTTGATGAAATTTTTTGTGTGTGTTCAAGGGGATCTGAGAATGGTTTAGATTCACAATTTTGTCCGCTGGACAACCCCTATTTTTTTAGGGCGGTACGAAGTTCGCTGGGTCAGCTAGTACATATATATTTTTTTAATATTTCTTCTGTGTTTGTAAGATAAATCCCAAAATAAATATTTGATGACAATAGTTAAAGTTTTAACTTACTTGTTCATGTGAATGACTGTTGTTGTGATCGTGACGAGAACGCAAGTTAAAGCGCAGACGAGACAGCATACGCCGACCACCTTGATCTGAAAGAGACATGTCAACATTTGACATTATTCTTCGTTTCTCAATCTTGATAACATTTATCAAGGACAACGGCAGCTTCTGGCTTTCCCAGGAACATAGAAAATTTATAAAAATATGTCTAACTAATATAATGGTGTTTCAGCAGCAAAAGCGCTAAAATCGTCCAATAATAGCAAAGTTTTTGTGCGCGAAAACCTGCCTGATTGGATGTTAATTGGATTAGTACGTCACGCTATTGTTAAACACAAATAAAAATCAAGCAAAATTATATATCTAGGATGAGTCCAGGATGAAATGAGAATTATTTGAAATCCCCCATTGTTTGTTCCCCCCTCAACCTTAGTATGTTCTTATGTTTAAAGAAAAAGCAAATGGACTATTAGACAAGCAATGAAGACTTTAATAGTGTAATGAAGATAGCTACCCGAAAAACAAATCTCCTTTATCTAATAATCATATCATACATATACATAATCTCAGATATTCGACTTGGATTCCAATATCTAATCGAGGATGATAAATAATTAGTATATTTTAATAAAAAAAAGGTTTGGTCCTTCGAGCCGGATGAAAAGAAAAATAGAAATCTTACATCAATCATCATCGGTACGTAAGATTTCTCACATGCTCTAAATCGTGCAAGCAAATGAATGATTTAAGATTACATACTTTCCTTACCATATAGCTGTATCTGTTCCGTCGTCGCGCCAAACTCATGATACAAACTCCTGTCAACACCAACTGCAACGAAAAACATTGACATAAGTTGAGACATTGTCGTTTACCTATCTATACATAGATGTAATAAAATGGTAGGAAAGTCAAAACTGTACATTGAATTTTTTTTTTAAAGAATACTTGGGGTGTGATCTACAATCGATACAGAAACCAAAAATATAGTTTTAAGCATTTTTGTCTGTTTGTCGGTATGTATAAACTAAAAAGTACTGCATTGATTCACTTAAAATTTGGCACGAATATTATTAAGAAGTCGGGTCAACATATAGGCTACATATTATCACGCTATCACCTACGGGGAACGAGCAGTGAACAGGGGTCAAAAAGTATGTGCAAATAATTAACTCCACCCGTACGAAGTCGCGGGCGGCCGCTAGTTAAAACATATGTTAATCTAGAACAAGGTTACTGATGGAGTTTTTAGTAATACTTATATCAAATTCCAGGGTTATATAACGCAGAATAACGCTTCTGTACACGACTGTCAAAAATAAGAGTGTAATGTACTCAGGGTTCATGTGTATGTACAATTCTTTTTTCTACCATAACTTCTAAACGCCGGGAACCGATTTGGGTGTGTGTGGTATCGTTAGAATCCTTTTACCATTCCGGGTAGCATAGGATACCTAAACTGTTAAAATTTAAAGGAGAGCAATGTCAAAATGCCAATTATAATGTCAATAAAAATCTTGAAATGATTATCAAACATTTACAAATATAATAGTAGCATTAACAAGCGGGTTTACCTGTAAAACGAGGTAAAGAGGTACTAAATTTCTTTTACTTTCAGTTTTAACGGCAGTCATGTTTTTTGATTTTTTTATTTTGTTCTAGTTAAAGAAATAGTGCATCTTACTTCGTATGTTAGGTCATAACATAAGTCATCTCTTCTACAGGCAAGATGTAGCTGTAATGTCTAAAGGTAAGGACAATCCTAACCTAACCTAACCTAACCATAGCAGCTGGCACGGCGGCGTGCACCGCTTCCAAGTCTTGCGGAAAGGCGGTGTAAGCCCGCAGCAGTACCTATGTGCTGAACTGTTAAAATAGTCCATCTAACTACTTACATGTGTAAGGAGATAACGCCACGTCTATTGAACTGTCTATGAACTATGTGAGCAATGCGGTAATGCCACGTCATCACTATTGTCAATAGTTCATCCAATGTATGAAGGGAAGTCCCTGGGAAGCCTAAAGATAAAGACATTCACTCACCATAGCAGCTGGCACGGCGGCGGGCACCGTCTCCAAGTGTTGCGGGGCGGCGGTGTAAGCCCGCGGCAGTACCTATGTGCTGAACTGTTAAAATAGTCCATCTAACTACTAACGTGTGTAAGGAGATAACGCCATGTCTATTGAACTGTCTATGAACTATGTGAGCAATGAGGTAATGCCACGTTATCACTATTGTCAATAGTTCATCCAATATATGAAGGGAAGTCCCTGGGAAGCCTAAAGATAAAGACATTCACTCACCATAGCAGCTGGCACGGCGGCGGGCACCGTCTCCAAGTGCTGCGGGGAGGCGGTGTAAGCCCGCAGCAGTATATGTTGTGCAGCCAACAATCCGCCCAGAGCTGCAGCCAAAGCGCCGCAGCCGACGCACCACCACGCATACTTGCGGCGGCGGCACGTGCTGTCGTTGTTGCAGCCGACGGCGGCTAGACAAAAAATATATAGTTTTAATAAATAACCACATAACACTTAAGGAGCTTAGAAGGGTGCTCATAGACTGTTTGTACGGAAACCGATGTCGCCGGCTCGCCCCCACTGCACTTCCACCTAATAGATAATAGCCAATCAAACGACGCGACATCAAACAATCGACCCAATCGGCGCACACCCGAGAGTACAGACGCAATCAGAACCAAGTTTTGGTCAAGTTATGAGCATTTATTTGCTTACACATACATAACTGTGGCGCGTCTGCCCCGCCGACAAGGCCCTTCTAACCAAGAGGTTACAGAAAGATCTGTATTCTGTGAGTTTAACACCTAGGATTCGATCCGTTGACGATCTCTCTAAAATGTACATCGGTTTTCGATTAGGTTGAGTGATATGCACGCCGGGTTTCAAGGTGACGCCTACACTGAGGTCCCGGGCTCGAATCCCGGTGAGGCAAATCTTTGTATGATGATTGCGAGCATTTGTATCTAAGTCATGGATTTATCTATAGTTCTAGATACTTATACTTATTTGATGTATTCTATCCGTTACCCTAGTATCCCACACAAGCTCAACTTACACTGGCGCAGTTGCGAAGCGACGCGTTGCCTTGGGAATACTAAGGTAATGCGAAAATAGGAGAAAAACATAAAATCTGGTATTAAGGAATCACGTGTTGAATAAGTGAGAATACCTTAATAGTAGGAAAATAGAAATGAATTTGCTACATGCAGGCGAAACAGGCGAAAAAACTGACGCGTCGCGTGTTGATTCGACTGTAGTGCCAGTGCTAAGTAAAATATCAACATTAAAACGTACACAAGTAACAACATGTACTTTGTGATATCTTTAAGTATATACGATTTATTTATTATTATATTTTTTTAAACACCAATTAGCCTAGCCCCAGAGTAGCCACTATAGACTTGTGTTATGGCATACTAGAGTAACGGATAGAATAGATATACTGATACATATATGTACAAGTATATTTAAATTATAATCAAAAGCTTGCAGTAAGCTGAGATCCAACTAATATGAAGTGAAATTCATAACACCTCTTGAATACCCTTTCTGGTTAACTGGTAGAGAATGCCTATGGCATTCAGTCCGCCATTAAATGTATTTTGGCAATAAATAATAAAATAAATAAATAATAACAGATACAATATTTTTTATATTGATGAAAAGGATATTTCTAATGCAAAAGAAGTTTCAAGGAAGTGGTCAAGATATTTTTATAAAAAAGAAATATACTTAACCTAATAAAAACAAAATTAAAACATTGTAAATTGTAACCACAAATATTAAATCAAATAAATTCCATTCATTTTTTAAAAATCTTAAAATCAATCAGTTTATTTATATTTTTATAGTCGGAATAAGAAATTGTGATTTGAAAAAAAAATCTATTGAATAATTTTTATTTACCAAAATATGGTGGCGGTGGCACATAGTGTTGTGCCACATCAGCGGCGATCGTTGACTGAGGTGTCGATACTTGATATTGTATCACTTGCATCACTCAATATTTTTTCATCAATAGTCACTCACTATCAACTATTCATAGTAATTATTATTTCCAGAATTCTAATTACCACACTCAAACTATGTGACGGGAATAACTTTTGAAACGCGCGCCATTCACACAAAATCAATATTTATAACTCACGCAAGCGATACGGGAAGGAACAATGACCCCTGCACGGAATAAAAACAACATGATATACGCGAATCGAACACAGGTTTTAAACACAGTTTCACGTAATAACTTTTCTACACACTATGTAACAAAAATCAATCCGAAACAATTTGTGTAAATGTTACTAAATTTTTTTTGGTGCACTTGTATTATTTCCCATCGTTCATTTGTTTTTACCGCCGCTTAATGACTCTGTAAACGCACGCCTATTCACAAATACGATCAAACAAACATTCGCCATTCAAACTAAACGCGTCGGAAATGTTATTACAGAAAATGAAACTGGGTTACATTATTAATTTAAAGACGTTTACAGGACTAGGTTATGTTATAACAATGGCTGGTTCGCGCAGAAGCAATGGGTGCTTTATTGGGCACAGGTAAAAAGGGACGTAATTTCTACATGTCGAAATGTGACTTATGGATTTAGCCGCGAAAATTCACGGTGCTTCAATTTATGTTTGTAACAGAAGAGGTTGCATTTCGTAGGCAATGGTTCATGGTTTAATAGCAGGTAGATGGACAATGCTTATTGTTATAGTAAAGATACAGCCTTGCTCTGCTACTCACAAAGGACGTATTTCTTATCAATTGCGACATTTTGGTGTGGATTCGTGGGAACACAGTTTTTTTCATAACACCTGCTCGCTTTTACGATTCAAAAAATCTTCATTGTCAGAAAAAGTCTTCTGATCTCATACATAACTCTGTATAACAATGCTTTTGCATGCAACAATTTATTTTCATATTTAATTCTGTAGTTACAAATAATGTTTCTTATTTTTATCAATTTTGTTTTATTGATCAACAAACCTTGCTGATAATCTACTTTCTTACTGGTATATTTGAACAAAACTTAATATCTAACATTTGTTCAAAATTAACAACAAACCAAAACCATGCCTGGGCGCTAACCACCTCAGTTTAACTCTTTCCGCGATTCGTTAAGAAAGAAAACGAAAGGTATAAATACTGATATAGGTACACTATTAAGCCCAAGATCAAGTTACATTGCCAGTATTTTAATCAAAACAATCGCTAGATGACGTTACAGAAAGCAATGGCCGCCAACATACGAACGCGCGCAACCAAAACTTTTGACAGGCAAACCGCAACCTTGTACTAATAGCAATAAAACCCATGAAGCCCTTTTCTTACATTCCGATACTTGCAAACCACTATTATTGTTCGCACGCAAGTCTGTACGTTACTCGCGTAGGATACTATTCAAGTAGTATCGTAATCGTTTATATGCAATGCAAGAACGGCCGGGAAATGTAAATATCGTGACATGCGAATCTCGACCTTAAGAGTATTGCAATTAAACTCCTCTTACCATTATTACTCTTGTTTGTGTCTGCTAGGACGCTGGTCGGCGATTTCGGATCATATGAATAGCGACTTTAAACCTATCATAATAAACTCCAACTCACCATTATTTCTCCTGTTAGTGGCTAGGGGACGCGGTCGCAAGGGTCACCTACAACTTACAAAATTAGTAAATAGTTGCTTTCTGATGTTGCACCGCTTATAGGAAGAATTGCCATAATTTTCAGCTTTCTTAATATGTGGTTAGAGTTCATCGTCGCAAACCTCGATGAATGAATCGTGGCTAGGGGCAAAGTATTTTTAGTTAGTGGCTCCATTTAGTGGCTGCGAGGACGCTGGTCTGCACCTCGGGACACGCAAATAGCGACCTTAAACCTATCACAATTAAACTTATCTCACCATTATTCCTCCTGTTAGTGGCTACGACGCTGGTCAGGACATGCGAATACCAAACTTAAACCTTTTTTTTAAATTTGTGTCTGAAAAACACATATCTGTCACCGTAACGCAAAGGAAACGTGCATGCACAGGCTTCGTGGGCTCCTTCCTATCATGCCACCCAGTTCGTGAGCTCGAGAAATGACAGGGCCATACCCGGTGAAAACCTTGAAATGCTCCATGCACGGTTACGGGTACGCATTTTGGGGATCGGAGTCCCCCCAATGCGTGTCGGGAGTGCGGGAGCCATGAGAACAGTTTCCGACCTCGCCAGTGATTGTGGAGTTCCCGAAGGAGCAGGAGGAGGAGCATAGTTCTCCCTGTCCCCCTCCCCTCGACCACAATAAAATCCTTACCATTACCACTCTTGTAAGTGGCTACACGCTGGTCGTCTCACGCGAATAGCGACCTTGAACCTGCCGCAATAAAACTCATTTCACCGTTTGTTCCTCTTGTTAGTGGCTGCTACATTTGCATTACGTGGCAATGCGGGTCGAGAACCATGAGACACACGGACCTTAAACCTACCATAATAAGACCGTTACCATTATTCCTCCTCTTAGTGGCTGCTACACGCGAATCTTGACCCTAACACTGTGGCAATAATATCCATGTCACCATTATTCCTCCTCAACTCGGGACCTTGACACACGCGAATCTCGACCTTAGAACTATCATAATAAAACCCTCACCATTATTCCTCCGGTTAGTGGCCAGGACGCTGGTCGGCGGGCGAGGAGGCAGCGCGGGTGGAGTGTCAGTCTTGGCGGGGGGCGGGGGGCCGGGCTCGTCCGCGCTCGCATACTGAGCGGACGAGGGCTTGCATGTGCACGCCACTTGGTACTGGACAGAGAAAAGTTACTAAATGATATAATAATAGTGAGAACGTGAACAGTGGTACGGGTATCGAGCGCAATAAAAGACTTCGTCGGAGTGTAGACCGATATTTCTGCCAATAAACACCTACCCGCAATTACTTCAGTTACTCCGTGATTATGGCGCTTAAAACAGTGCCGAAATATCGGTAGCTCGCAAAAAACAAGTATTAAGAAAGATACGGTTTAAAAGCTTATTGTAATCAAATAATCGAGCATGTTGCCTGTTGGTAAGAAACGCTTTGCGATACTAGATTTTTTTTTTACGTTCTTTCCTTTCGCGGGCCTGCTGGAAGAAATTTCAATATGAAATAAGCAGTGCCCTTGTACAAATTTCTTGTTCTTGTTCTATTTATCTGTTTTATTGTGTGTGTACTAAATTAGTAAATAAATAAAAAATAGATTTTTTTGATTCATGCGTTGCCTGTTCTAACGCTTTTCTAACCCAGTAAAGACTGTATCCAGTATGACTGACTGTAATCTGTGTGAAAATAGTTATTTATGATACAAGTGCGGTAAGTTTGTTATAAATAAGTTGGAAATGAGAAAACGAATGTTAACATAGACACGGCGAGTTTGTAAATACCAATCCGCACAAATATCATACAACATTTTTCAACTTGTATTTGCATTCACTATAGGTGATTAAAGATGATACATGAAAGATGTGGATTTTGATTTTGAGCACCGTTTGTATTTGTACGTTTGATTAAAGCCATTCTGTCGTTACTTCTTTATTATATAATATTAGCTGACCCAGCGAACTTCGTACCGCCCTAAAAAAATAGGGGTTGTCCAGCGGACAAAATTGTGAATCTAAACCATTCTCAGATCCCCTTGAACACACACAAAAAATTTCATCAAAATCGGTCCAGTCGTTTAAGAGAAGTTCGGTGACATACACACTCACAGAAGAATTATATATATAAAGACTAGCTGTCCCAGCGAACTTCGTACCGCCATAAAAAAATAGGGGTTGGAGGTAGAATGGGTGAAAATTTAGGGTTGTATGTATTTTTGTATGATGATAGTATCACAAAAAAAATAAAAAAATAAATCTAAAATTGAAAAAAAAAATAGGGGTGGATTACCCTTAACATTTAGGGGGATGAAAAATAGATGTTGTCCGATTCTCAGACCTACCCAATATGCACACAAAATTTCATGAGAATCGGGAAAGCCGTTTCGGAGGAGTTTAACCACAAACACCGCGACACGAGAATTTTATATATTAGATTTGGATCATATATAATTAGTGTGCTTCCTTAAAATAGAATGAAGAATATACAATTTTCTAACAGTAAGTAGGCCCGATAGAGAATATAGTAATTCTATTGAAAGATCTGTTTTGTAATAACCTAAATCTACCCATATCACATACATAGAACCTGGTTAACATCAATAAATGTGTAACTGAGAAATTCGTAACAGGAAATAATAATACAAACTTCATCCCATGTGAGTCGGATTCGCGCTGGAGGGTTCTATTCTATATTATGGCACAAGCAGGAAAATATTTACCTGCCTATATTTTTTTTTATTATTACTGATAATCCTAACAGGTGCGGTCGCAGCCTGAAATTTTGGAGGGGGTCACTCACTACACTAATAAAAAATAGGTATCTGGAATAAAATAAACATTATTCCACAAGACACTTTTTGACACAGGATTTTTCAATTTGACCTTAGATTTGGGGGCGCGCCTGAATCCTAATATTCTAATAATATCCTAATAAATAAATTTCAACTGTCTACCTTAGACGGGAGGACGGACACTGACCCCCTTATTAATATACGAAGAATAAGCTTGGATTAGTTATTCCATGTTTTGTCTCTGTTCATTGAATTACAAATGGCATTTGAGTGACATGAACAAAACACGGTGTAACTAGTCAAAGCTTATTCCTTATTTATAAATAAGGGGGTAATGGTTTAGTAAAAGAGATTCCACTCTCGCCCTTTATCTATGGAACCCTAAAAATAATAACCAAATCCAAAAACCGCAGGTAGAAAACTTCCACGGTAAATAGAAAAAAAACCTTTGAATGGTGATTTACCTGAAGAGAATGACGGCTAATAAAAACCTTTATTATTAATACAAATAGAGTTCTCAAATTTAGAGCACCGCATAAGAGCTGTTAGTCTGCTAGATCAATTAACATTTGATCGGTTGGAATTACACTATGGAATCTTAATGATTTGAGGGTTTTTTAACAAGGTAGAGGTAATTTTGTAGGTAATTTTTACAATAAAACTTGTAACGGCTCGTTGTGTTTTAAGAGTTCCCCTTGAACAGAAAAATTGTCGGAGAAAAAATACAAAATATACGGAAATGTAAACTAAACTCCTCTGTTGGCTGGACTGCATTCTTGCCGTTACTTCAGTAAATGACAGTCCCTTTTCACACGTGTCACAGTTTTGAATCGTGGTATTTCGGAAACATTGTGTGATACAGTAAAATCTCCAGTGACTCGATTCCATAACAAATACAAATATCCGACGGTCTATACGACAAAAACTTGCAAACTTACAAAGCTCTCGCGAACGTGTTTGCTACGTAGTTACTTTCGGACAGGCTATCGGACATTTCTCGCAAAAGTTTTCTTGAAGGTGGAAACACACCCTAAGATATCAGCTTGCAGTCAGACAGGCCAATATTTTCATTTACCAAAAAAACTGCTTTTCTATAAATACCTTGTGCAAGTCAGAAGTGACGGAGGCGCTGGTATCGCACTCCGGGCACGCTTCTGGCGCCGGTGAACTGCGGGCTGACGTCACATCTGCCAGTGACATCTTCGGGTGGAATGCTGGAGACAAAAGACCGAAACCTTGTTAGTTTGCGTAAAAATTAACCATCCCGTTGTTGAAGCCATGATCTGACTTTTATGAGGAGTTAAGAAAGAGATAATTTGGGTGATGCCAAGAGGTACGTACATTTACACTGTTAACACTATCACATACAGCGCAGTGCTATTGTGTAAGAACAAACTCACTTTTCACCGAGGAATTCGCCAGTTTAATCAGAAATTTATTAGAAATTCATGTTCTAATTTTAAATCACAAAGCGGATTCCAGGGTGAAAAGTGGGTTTGTTCTAATTCTTACAGAATAGCACTACAGCTTCGCTAGTGTAATCAGAAATTTGTTAGAAATTCATGTTCTACTTTTAAATCATAAAGCGGATTCCAGGGGGAAAAGTGGGTTTGTTCTAATTCTTACAGATTCGCTGGTGTAATCAGAAATTTATTAGATATTCATGTTGTAATTTGAAATCACAAAGCGGATTCCAGGGTGAAAAGTGGGTTTGTTCTAATTCTTACAGAATAGCACTACAGCTCGGCTCACACTTCACTCAACTATATTAGTAAAATGCACAAGAGAAGTGAAAAGAACTACAATTCACTCCCCAGTGTGGCTTGCACCTTTTGTTAGGACACGTGAAAGAGAAAAACATGTCCGATAAGTATCACGTATGCAGAAGCCAGCAAACTTCGGTCTAACTGTTCATCAAGATAAATTTGTTGTTTGTTGATACTTTAAACAATCAATAGAAATCTGTCTAGACATAACTCTTCACTATTTCACCGTGATTTTATCGACGTATCGATTATTGCAAATACTAATCCCACATCACTAACATACCGCATCATAGCCAATGACAGTTATTAGAAAAAATCTTTAAAACCCTATGGCACGTGAAGATCGTTGGCTCATGGCTATCGCAGATAAAAGCTTAAAGAACTAAAAATTTTATGTGCCTTCGCAAAAACAGTATAGAATGAACAGATGGCAAACGCGCATCCGGCAACATCCTGCCAGCTGTTAACGGGATGAACATAGGTTCCATATTTAAAGGTGCTTGACCTAAAATTGTTTAATACCCGCAATTTTCATTAATGTGGAACTGAGCTATGCAAAGAGCACACCTGGCGTTAAAATAGAAAATGCTCTTAATTACATGAATTATTTCTAGTTGTCATTTATTTTATGGTTAGCGTATTCAGTTTGCTATTCTGGAAGTATGCGACTTGAATAATAATTAAAACGTACCGAAGGTGCGATATGCTTTTAATCATTAGCGCCAACGGATTAGAATGATATTCGTTAGTTAGCGCTCACCAATTTCTAGTAGGCACACGTCATAAATATGTCTTGTCTATAGGTATTACTCTTAGGCACAAGTGGTAGATAATGGTGTCAATTCTGACATGCTTTTCTAAACTTAAATCTAAACATCAGTCTATCCTTTTCATTGTGTATAGCGAAGAACAAGGTTAAACTGTGTTAAAAGGTTTAGGTTTAGAGAATCATGCCAGAATCGACACCAACGGTCAGATTATCTTATTTGATTATATCTATGGACTGGCGAAACTGCACCCCTGCAGTAAGGGCATTAACGAACAGACGAATTTTCGATTCTATTTAGAACTTACGCATATACAAAATTTTATTTGAATCCAATTACGACAAGGTCACCTTGTTAACTGAATCTGATTTGAAAACATCCTATTTTATTAATATACTTAACATGTTACAAAAATAAATAACTCATTCATGCTTAATTTAGAGGAATAATATCCTTAAAGTAATAGGTTTCAATTCATTTTTATGCGAACAATAAGATTTTGGATAAGCAAAAACTTTCATGTTACCGTGTCACGGTCTCCTTAATAAAGTTGGCTCAAATTAATATCGATAAATGCATGTAACATTGAAACATCGATAAAAGAGATTGCGTTTGTGTTTTGGCCTATTAAAATAAGAATATTAAGAAAGGAAATGTATTAATTAAAGTTATTAAATAAAGAACACAAAAAAATACAGTTACTAGACCATTCGTACTATTAAAATTATAAGGACGATACAAAACAGCTTATAATTTTTCTGTATATTTTGAGCGACAAATTGAATTATTAAATGTCATGGCGCACAATTCGAATAACAGACTCTCCCACGCTAAAATCAAAAACAAAACCACAAGATTTGACAAGCCGGCTGCCAGCCACTACGTAAAGGTGTGATCCCACGATGTGTGTTGTCGCATTCGAGTTCGCGCCGCGCAGAGTTGCCAAACGTATGAGAACTCTAACGTTTGAGTTTTATCAGTATTTATACATGATTCGATGTGATGGTGCGATGATACAAATAAGGATGCATTTAGTGATGGCATAATGGATCTGTACTTTCTGAAACGACCCTTTGTGTACTGCACATTTATTTACTTTCTGATAATATTTTTGGTTTGTATTCATGACACATTGTTCAAATTCCATATCAAAATGTACGAGATATCTACTTACCTCGTATCATGTATAGATACTGCTAAATCTCGAACGTTAGATTTCTCATAAGATTGTCAACCATGCGCGGCGCGTCCTCGCGCGCGACAACACACATCGTGGGAGCGCACCTTAAGAGCGATGACCGCGGATGATCATTCAATCAGTAGCTCCACCATAGTTAACGCAAATCCCCAATAGCAGTATGATAAATAAACTTAATAATTACACAGTATCCATGCATTCTTCCTTTCAAGCCCCTAGCATGAGCACCGCGATAAGATATATAGCTCATGTTTATCACGCTCAGTTGTCAAATTACAATGAGTTTGACAGTAAGTGTCACCGCACACGGGCCACCGGCCACAACCACAAAACGCCGCCAACGGTATATTTCCTGCAGTTTTCATACATTTTATATGGACTCGCCGCACACGGTTGACGCTAGTGGCCGCCACACGCTACGTGGCTATCTAAATAACTATCAAAAGTAACGTTGAATTGGATGAAAATGGTACTTATTAATACTGGAAATGTACCAATTTCCCGTCATCATCTTTTCAGGAAGCTTTCTAGACATTTTGTCTGTTCCCGTTTTTGTTGGTTAGCGAAAATGGATGAAAAGAAATCGGTTTTCAATTTCAGCTTATTCACAAACACACAATATAATTCATACTTATACTGTTTGGTGTTGCACTGTGGTCGATGTAATCCGACTCGTACTTTAGTTACTCAAGTCAACACGTCAGCGTTTTGTAACGAGTTATGATAAAGTTGCAACTACTAGATTATATTACAATCATAATATTTTTTAATTACAAAGAGTATTTTCTTTTTCCAAATGTCCGACGGTTTTGCTTTTGTAAAACGCACAAATAATATGATCACGACGATAATAATAACTTGTGTTGTATCTAATTTAGTTTATCTTGTTCTTCTCAGAGTGAACGTAAATTGTATGATATACCAAACACATAAAAAGCCACTTTGATCTGTGAGAGAGTCTGTCTTTTAGTTTATATATTTATTGTTGAGTTACATAAAAGTATCTTCGATGAAACATTTCTCATTATTTATTTGTATTATTATTGTTTTTCTTACATCTTTGGCATTTCTGTCTGTTATAAAACAAAACATCTTAGGTCACGCATGTTTCGATTTATATCAGACAGCCCTAAATAAACGCTATGTGATGAATAATATTCAGTAACGTTTTACGAAATCTTAAGGATTTTCAGTCACGAAATTCGACTCGGTGATTCTTTAACTGTCAATCGATATTGTTACGCGTGATCTGAACAATTTCACGGCTTTACAACAACAGTCGTAGTCGTGATTAAATCCATTTCTTGTTTTCTTTTTAAATCACAATCTACGGCGATGATAACTTTTAGGTACCTATTCAGAAATAAGAGAAAATAAAAACTTTTATCGATATTTGTGTTACGCACGTCACTGTGTTAAGTAGGTATTGAATTTTCATCCACATTAATTTTTTGTGGTTTTGTTTTCATGAAGTCAGTTTTATTTGGGTAACAAAAGTTTTTATACCTACCTACATTTCATAAAATCCTGCCTTAACTACTTAAATGACTGTTTGTCAATAAGGAATTCCATTTGTTTATATTCGAAAGTGCTCGTCAAATTTTCACCTTTAAATAAGACTTCTTGAAAGAAAACTGATGCAAATACAAAAAGAAATCATCAAAATCAATTCATATATTATGGAATCTTTAAGTAACAGAAATACAGTCGAATTTATTACACAACTTCCCAAAAAAAAGAATTGTAATGTTTATGACTATGGTTCGCGATTATTCCGTCAGTTATGAATTGGATTTTATTCTTTTCATTTTCAGAGTTTTATTTTATTAAAGTTTCCATCTAAGGTTTCCATTGAAAGCTTCCGCTTTTATAGGTAGTTTAAAAATAAATCATTGTAGGCTATTGAAATACTGGCGAGAATATAACAAATGTTAAGAGTTGTGTATTTCACTCTTGCAATTTGTTGATAAAATAGATAAAAGGTTACCGTGTCCAGAAAAATGCAAAATGTTACTGTAGCAGGTAGACAAAATAGTAATAAAAGTTATAAGATGAAAGAAAAAGATGGGCATCCTTAACCGACAGTTCATTTTTTCTGGAGCAAGCAGGTAGAAAGCTTTATTTTTCTTGAGGAATCTTTTCCATTGATGTTTCAGTATGCCCTTATTATTAGGCCTTTCTTTGATAGAGGTTTCTAAGCTTATTTGGTAGAGGCGGGTATATCCGGGACTGCAGATTTTATTGGGCTGTTTAGTAGATCTATAGTAAAGCACAATCGATTTTTGTATTTTGGCGGGAACATCTAACACCGTTCTTGTGATTATTTGTAGTCGTAAAATAATCTGTATTTAAATGAATAATAACTATTTTAAAAGAGCTTTCAGTAGCTTTACAAAAACAAAAATATGCGCTTTATACAAACCTACTATTTATTGTAGGTACCATAGATGAATGAATGGTCATCTATGTATATATACATATCTAATCATTCATCTATGGTATATACGTAGTTAGTTGTTAAAATTTATTTCGAGGTAAAGATCAAACACTAACAACAAGTTATGTATTATCTTAATCACCAAAGTCAAAATATAGTTTAATACAGTACCCATAGTACGAGTTTTACAATTACGAAAACTGTGATAGGTTTCGTGAGCTCGCACTCGTCTAAGGGTTGTTTTCGTTTCAATACAAATAAACAATGTTTAAATTCTATCATTAAATCATTTGCGTCTTCTTAAATTTTAAGTATATTTGGCTACTTTTCACCAAATTGGACATATAAACATAATTTACAATTACGAAATCTATGATAGTTTTCGAGAGCTCAAACTCATACTAAGGGTATAGATTCGTTTCGTACTATCGTATGTACAAGGTAAATAACATTTGCATACAGCTATTGCGATTTGCATAAACGCTCGTCTTTGCAATTCGCCATGATAGAATTTCATGTGTAGAAACCCCGTTATTGTATTTTATTGTTATAGGTGCAATAAAAATACATCTTCTGTGCAAATTTTAAGGTTAAATATTTGGGCATTAGTAATTGATTTTTCGGCGTCGCTGAATGCAACGTCGAGGTTATTAATGTAGATGTAACATCAATTGTTTTACTTAACAAAACCCATTAAGGAACTATTTGACACTATAATAACTTGAAATAGGCACGGAAAACACTTAAATTTTTTGTAAGATTGCAGAAAAAACACAGTGATGTTGATACGAATGAAAAAAATATCGATAATATTTTGAAGTACACAAAAGTGTCAGAATGTAGGTAATATATTTTTTCCCAAAGCGGAGAGCACTTTCGCTAACCCACGACTTACACGAAAATGGCTATTGTGCTATGAAAAATGAAGAATAATCGTTGTTGTGAGAGAACTTCAGGTCAAACTTTCTCTCGACTTAGAACATTGTAGGTATGTTACACAAGTAATTTTCTTAATACACGTTTATTACATTATAACGTGCAATTTAGGATGTATAGGTACTTTTGTTTGTGATGATCATGAGAACATTATGGGAATAATACTAACATAAATGTCAGTGAGCACACCCAAAAGTTATATCGTGCTGAAAAATCATACAATTGTATTTGGACAGTAAGCTTTATAAGTTCAAAAGACAATGAATAAGTACCTAGTCGGCAACTCATCAAGATGATTAGAGAAGACCCCAACGACAACGACTAACTAGTGCCGAGGTCCGAGTCTCAGAGACGCCCTCTAGTTGAGCCGACCCCTCAGGTTCGAGTGGTCTAGAGGCTCCAGACGGAGAGGGGACTTCCCCCGTGGGGAGATGCCATCCGCCTGGAATACCCCTATAGGCACTCACTAATTCTCGGCTTGAGGACTTAAGGTCCCCTTAGGATCTCGCCGTCCCCCAACCCGGTGAAGCTGTAAAGGTCATCTGCGACCAAAGGCTCAACACTCAAAACAAAAAAAATATTTTACTAAGTTTCTTCTCATTCCTTGGTTGAACTGAGGTGAGGTTACTGGTTCAAATATAAAATGATTTTCATTTCTTTAAAATATTGCCAATAGCTTTTAAATCGCATTGTTCTAAAATTCGAATGTGATAAAAGTGCTTTTCATGAACTTTTAAGGAAAATTATAACGGTTAAGATAGATTTGTTAGTTAAGAGTAATAGTCGTTCAACTTTGCTTAAAGAAAATTTCTTACTTATTGAAAAATCCTTACAAGACAACATAGTCACATAGATGAAGTTACTCATAAATACTAAAAAAAACTTTTTTTTTTTAATTTCAAATTCCGATAGAGAAAATAAAGATTCTTACTTAAATATGTTCTGGTAACGGCAGGCAACTACGGAACCGTACACTGCGCGTGGCATGACACGCACTTGGACGGTTTTTGTTTTGAATAGTATAAGGTTCCTGTGGGACTCTTGAAAAATTTAACTACACGATTTTTTGGTTCATAGTTAGACTTTCTGGAATTAAAATTAACATATAACCTTCCCTAGGGATTTTCTTCAAGTCCATTCGAAGTTTAGTCTAGTCATGAAGAATGTTTTTAAGTACGGGGCCGCGGGGTAGCGTCGCATAGAAGGTGTAGGATTGCGTTTACACAGAAATTCGGCGGAACTATACCGCTAACGATTATCAATTTGCTACGTTGTCATCGTGATGCTACAGTCTAATCGTTTGTTTGTTTGTTTGTTTGTTTGTTACACAATAACAATAACAGTTTTAACGGACAGAACGTAACGGCATTGCGAAATGAAACTCCACTGATGCGGGTTCAAATCCCGGTAGTTGAAGTTCTGTTCGAGATTTTTACTTAATTTCCTAGGATATTGTGTGACAATTCCCTTGTTTTTGTATTTTCAACTAAAAATTCTAAATTGTAAAAAAATGTAATAAAGAAACCCACTCAACAAGTTTTTTTTTAGTAGCATAACAACACAGTCTATCAATTTATATGGATAAAATTATTTTTTACACGCCTTTGACCGCGTAGATCAAACGGTTTTGAAAGAAAACAGTTAAAATACAATAAATTTATATAAATGAATGCATGGTTAGAAAAAGAGGTTCACTGTTAACGAATTTTGGAAATTAATTCATTGTTATCTTCAAAATCATCATTAACTTCCATAATGATGAACTTCATATACAGTTTTCTTCTTATTCTTAAAAGATGATTTCTTACAAAAGTAGATAAGACATAATATGCTATGTTTCTCTGCAACAATACTTCAACTATTAAGTGACATGTTATTTAAGCCTCAGTTTATTAGTTGCATAGCTGTAAACGGTAGAGGTCAATTGAAAAGATAAGCTTTCAATTGGCAAAATGATGTCAACAGAGTCTGAGACAAACTATCGGCGATATTTTGGATGTTAATATCTGGGACAGTGAAACGAGGGACACTGAAAAGAGAAACCCAATTAAGGATCCTACCGCCATTTAATGGCATTATAGTCTAAATATTAGCTGCACTAATATTTTCGTTAGGATTATTTTTGAAGTGAAAACTTCTTTAAAAGCGTTGTACACATTTTTTTATAATGAGTAAAAAATGTTAAACTCGCGACAGCATCGTGACCTAATCGAAAATTCGTAAGACGAACGACGACGTTATTTTGTCGTATTATAATAATAAGTCTCTATCTAGGATGTCTAGATGGCAGTTTTATTGCGAAGAAAATCCTTTTTTTTTACAATAGATGTCGCTAGGTGCGCTTAAATGTGATTCATGACAAAATATATTACATTAAAAAGTTTATCTGAGAGATAAACTTTTTAATGTAATATATTTTGTCATATTTGTGTACGATAGCGCAATAAATAAATATTGTATTCTACCACATAAATGATAGTACTTTTATACTGATAATTAAAGCAATTCGTGCAAAATTATTCGCTAACCATTCCAAAATTTCAAAAATGCACAACGTTAATATTCAAGTTTTCACTTCTGCCGGCACTCCCGGAGAGCAGTCGTTTTTTTTTCACTCTAATATAACTCAGTTACTCACAAAATGTCAGTTCAAATCGCGATTCTGTAAATAAATACTAACAACATTGAGCTATGGACAAAATTTTATAAAAATACATATAAAACTTTCAAAGTATGTAATCATCAGAAAAAAAAAATATCTTCTCTGCATCGTCTGTTGTCGATGGATTTTCGAGATAATACGGTTTATAGATAAAAAGGTTTAAATCGAATATTTTAATGACATAATTCTAAAGCTTGTTGAAAATTATGTGCCAGAACTATTAGTCTCTATGTCTCACCCAACACTGGCCAGGCTGAACAATAATATAATAACATAAAACTAGTCAAGCAAGTGCGAACCTACTCGTATATGTAGGACAATAATTTTGTAAAATTAAATTTAAATATTACCGAAAATAAAAAGCCACATCAGTCAGTGAGATGACAAGAGAATATATTTCAAACTTTCAAAAGTTGAGTTGACAATTAAAGTTTACGAACTATAGACATAGCATAGAAACTTATTTCTACAACACGCCCCCTTAAACTTAATTGGCAACATTAGTGCAAAGTGCAACATTTCATTAGCTGACTGTACTTTAAAACTATCGCTAACACAACATGTTTCCTTTTATATATAATTAATATATAATTATTTGCTACAGCGTCACGTACAAAGTGATAGCGTACTGAGACATGCTTTGTACGTTTATGGAATACAGGATTATAAGCTAGTTTATGGGCTGACTGATTATCATTAAATAATTCAATACTTTTGTTATGATTGTAAATATTAACAGAATTTTGAATTTTTAAAAGTTCGTCTAAAAACTGTTTTAAAAACATAGCTTCTTTTGAAGCCTCGCTTAGTGCTATGTACTCCGCCTCTGTGGAGGACAAAGCTACACATGTTTGTTTTTTGACAGCACCAGGATACAGTATTATTATTAACTTTAAAGATATATCCTGTGAAGGATTTGCAATCTACATCATCATACAGTATTATTATTAACTTTAAAGATATATCCTGTGAAGGATTTGCAATCTACATCAGATGCCCAATCCGCATCTGTATACACCGTTATATTAAAAGTATTGATTAAAGAATCAGCTTTAAAAACTAATTTCATGTTTATTGTACCTTTTAAATATCAGAGCACACGTTTTGCTGCGACCCAGTGCTCTTCTGAATAACAGTTATTAAACTGACTCAGATAAGTAACACTATATGCTAAGTCAGGTCTACTCATTTGACATAAATACATTATTGAGCCAATTAGCTCCCTGTATGGATATTTGTCGTCACAAATTGTGTTACTAGGTGTAAGTTTTAAATTAGTTTCTAAGGGAGTCTTGACAGGTTTGCAGTCAGTCATCCCAAACTTATCTAAGACTCTAAAAATATATTGCTCTTGACTTAGAGACAGCTCGCGTTTGACTTTGTCATGTGTGATTTGAACACCCAAAGCATTATTAAGTTTCCCTAAATCTTTGATCTTAAATGCTTCTGACAATGCATTTTTAAGTGAAATAGCCATATTTTGGTCATTGTACATTATGAAAAAATCGTCGACATATAACGAAATAAACAAAATGCTCTCTCCCGCCCGTTTCACAAAAATGCATTGTTCAGTATTACACTGCCTATATTGAAGAGACAATAAAACGTCTTTTACCCTAGTAAACCATGCACGGGAAGATTGCTTAAGCCCGTAGATAGCTTTTTTGAGCAAACATACTTTGGACTCCTCGCCTGGTTTTATAAATCCACTTGGCTGTGCCATGTAGATTTCCTCCGTCAATTCTCCGTTAAGAAAAGCCGTTTGAACATCTAAGTGTTCAATATCAAAATTAAGTTGAACAGCAATAGAAAAAAGAACTCTTAACGAAGTGTACCGAACTACAGGAGAAAATACCTCAGAGTAATCCTCACCTTTACATTGTGTGTACCCCTTGGCAACAAGACGAGCGCGATAGCGCGAGATCTTACCTTCAGCGTCTCGTTTGATTTTAAAAATCCATTTGTTCTGTACAATATTTTTGTTCGGCGGTCGATCGACTAATACCCACGTTTCGTGTTGATGGAAAGCATCCAATTCGGCTTGCATAGCCTCTTTCCATTGCTTAGCATCAGGCGAGCTGAGAGCTTCTTTCAACGTCGTAGGTTCTAGGTGATCGCCACAAAAATTTATAATTGAATCACCATACCTCAATGGTTTGTGATGCTGCCTTGCAGGATATCTTCTATGAACTTCCTCCTCAGTAGGACTATCCGTGGTTGATTCGATTAGAGTTGAACTTCCAGTACCTCTATTATTACTGCTGAGCACAGTAGTACCTGGATCTCCAGCACCATCAACATTATCCAGGGGTGCCATTCCGGAACTCTCATTCTCAACAGTTATACTTTCCGTGTCCTCTAAATAAGGGAAAGATAATATTTGCTCATGAGTTGAAGAGTTTTGGAAAGAGAATTGATTTTCAATGAATTTTACATCCCTAGATAAAGTGATTTTATTAGTAGTTGGATCTAATAATCTGTATGCTTTTGAACAATCATCATATCCCACGAACATATATTTTTTGCTTTTTGGTTCTAGCTTATGTCGTTTATTTTTAATAATATGTGCATAGGCATCACAACCAAAAACTTTTAAATTACTATAATCAACAGGTTTGTTAGTCCAGACCTGCTCAGGTACAGTATTGGCTAACTTTTTGGTTGGTGACCTGTTTATTAAATAAACTGAAGTATGAGCTGCTTCAGCCCAATACTTCATATCGCATCCGGATTCGCACAACATACACCTAACTTTGTCCAGGATTGTGCGATTCATTCGCTCTGCGACTCCATTTTGTTGGGGAGTATAGGCTACAGTTAACTGGTGACAGATACCTTTTTGCTTAAAATAATTTTTCAAATCCTGATTGCAATAGTCCCCAGCATTATCAGAACGAATAACTTTAACTTTACGTGCACATTGATTTTCAACCATAGTAATGAATTCTTTTATTATAGAAGTAACCTCAAATTTATTTTTAAAAAGTAAATAAAGACCTTTCTACTATGATCATCGATGAACGTCAGAAAATATCTCTTACCTCCAACAGACTGTACTGGTAATGGTCCGCATACATCGGTGTGAATCAAATCCAAATTTTCTTTAGCCAACTCTTTTGCAGGATTTGAAGGAAAAGAATCCCTTGCATGCTTACCTTGAATACAAATTTCACAAGTGATATTTGATTGTTTATCTGTAAAATTAATAGTGTCCGCGTAATCTTTTAGTTTAATAAGGCTTTGTGTGTTCAAATGACCCATTCGCTTATGCCAAAGATCAATATTATTGATCTGAGCAATATTTACAGTATCATGAAAATTGTCAAGTTGATAGGCTGCTCCTAGCTCAGAGCCCGTAACGGCAATTTGGCCAGTTACATTACAACTACTACCGTAAAAAATTTTACAACCTTGCGAATCAAATACAGTCACGAAACCTTTTTTAACTAATTCAAAAACAGATATCAAATTTACAGAAAGATTAGGTACATACATTACGTCAGAAATTCTATTTATCTCATTATTTATAACTTTAATATCTACATTACCAAGACCTGTACATTTTAGCTGTTCACCGTTAGCTACAGTTAACGTTTTTGGAGATATTTCCTTAAAGTCCTTTATCCAATCCTTACGTCCAGTCATATGTTGAGTTGCTCCGGAATCGATATACCATATATCATGGCTATTGTTACCTAAACTCAATGCTATCAAAGATTTCGGGTTCTCGTTCTTTGGTTCTGAATTTCTTTTATTTTTGAACCAACATTCTTTCTTTGTATGTCCAGATTTCTTGCAATTCCAACACCACTTTTTGTTCTTGTTATTATTGTTATTCTCTTTAGGTTTTTGTTTGTTTCCAGAATATAAGCACGTTACAGTATCTTTGTCATCACCATTCCATTTTGTGTCTTGTAAAAGTTTTGTTTTTACCAAGTCACTAGTGATTTCAACTCCTGAATGTTCTAGTGCCATTACCATCGGGTCATATTCCGAAGTCAATCCCTTGAGCATAACTACGCCTAGAAACTCATCATCTACCGGTTTGCCTATAGCATTTAGTTGTTGACCAATAGAAATGGTATCATTGACATATTCATGCATGGTGCTGTAATCCGTTAATTTTACGGAACATAATTTGCTAAGAAGTCGTAGACGTCTGTTTAGACCCTTATCATCAAATATTTTTTCTAAAGTGTCCCATGCTTCTTTAGCTAATGTAATGTTCATTAGATGTGGATATATGGAATTGTCGACAGAAAGATTGATTTTTGCTAACGCCTTCTCGTCTTTCCTAGATCGAACATCCACAGGAATTGAATCTCCCTCTTTGTATCCACTAACACATTGCCAAAGATTATCATGTATCAAACTATTCTTCATAATAAATCGCCAGACATTGTAATTTTCCCTA